TCATCAATGGAATTAAAATATTTTATGACATCGTAGAATGACCCTTGATTCTGAACACTGAAATATGTACAGGCAAACAAAAAATAATGTAGAAAATGTATTAGAGTTGCCAGCTATAGACAAATCTCTTGAACAAAATTGTGTTTTCATAAAAATTGCCTCTAATTGGTGAAAGAATTCCTAGGTTCACAATATTAGAAGACACAGTATGAGACTTAGTTCAGAAAATTCGAACTAAAGGTAAAGTAAGAATAGGCATTTTATGGATATTTATATAATACAGTTGCATAAAGATGAATATTACGTAAAGCAGGGGATTAAAATGGAGTAAAGTATTAGATATTACTTAAATTGGAGTGAAATGGAGTAAAGCATTTGACATTTAGAAAAACACCTATAATTTCATGGACAGTCCCACAAAAATTTTTAGTTAAAGCTAGCATTTAGCATTACTAGGCAACAGAAAGTTTTATATTTCTTCTTTAGCCTTTATCAAGTAAGGACAGAATTCAGGTTTACTTCTGTGTGCATTCACCCATGAGCATGTGGTGACAAGAGAGTAATAACCAGTGTGGTCCTCTACTGCCTTCCACCTTATTGTTTGAGGCAAGTCTCTCAGTGAACCTGGACCATCCTGCTTTACTAGAATGCCTGGTCGGTGAGCCTCTGGGACTTACATGTCTGCACATGCCTGTGTTGGAGTATCAGAGGCATACTACTATACTTGGCATGTTACAGTCCTTCTAGAAGAGAAGCCGAACTTCAGCTTGCACAACGAGTCCTTTACCTGATGACCCATGTCCTCAGATCCCTGAATCCAGTTTTTGAGAACTCATTTACAACCTCATTGGTTTCCAGATTCATAGTATATACAATATTTAGACTAAAAGAGGTCAAATTAGCTTAATTGAATCTTCCTTGAGATGCATATTGGCCCAAATCCTTGATCTCTCTTTTTCTAGGTTCTTTGTATATTTTGCAAATATAATTACTAGGGTGGAAGAAAACAAATGTTATCTTGAAAAAAGAGAGATAATACTATTAATTTCAGATATAATTTGAACATTTGTTCAATTTCAACCATGACTCTATGTGGGTGTACATATAAACTTAAAGGAGTTACATGTTGTACTTGTGTTTAGGGATACAAATAACATATGCCTACAAGTTACCTTCATTCTTTTTTGTTCTACTTTTCATCTTATGAGATAAGGTTTCACTATATAGTCCAGGCTGGTTTTGAACTCATCATTCTTCTGCATCTGGAAGAATGTGCTGCATCATGGAAAAAGTGCTGGCCAAGGATATGGAGTACTGAGAGGCAAGTTGTAATTTTAAAAATAGAACCTAAGAGAGACTTAAAGAACTTTTCAAATTTGAGACTTGAAATGCAAAATTTGCCAAACATTTCTTCATTGAAAGTTCTATTTGTTTTAATCTTAAGCATGGAGAAGAAAATAGGAATTCTTTTATTAAAGTAAAATTCCCCCACAGAAAAGGATGCTATTCTATGTATCTTTGTATTTCCAAGCATTTCAGTAACACTAATATGCTGTGTTTCTCAAGGTTTTTATGTTTTGTAATTTAGGAAAGTCCCTAGCTTTTTCACTATATGGAGAGTCTAGGGACTCTTACTATGAATCTCCAGGGCACAAGTATCTAGCTTGTGACGGAGGCTCAGTGATGTTTGTGACTTGACTGTCTTAATAGTTTTATTAGCATACACATTTTTATTAAGCATAAAGGGACCATATCATTAAAAAGGTCCTTGATTTTTCTTAGCCTTTCATGACATTCTACAAGCATACACACTTCCCTTAATTACGATTTTTCCACACATTTTCAGCCTTCAAGGGATTAATATGCTCGGCAGTGGGCATTTAAATTATAATTTAATAAATAGAAATCTAATTCCTAGGCTCTGCACATCTGTTTGACAGGATGGAGGCCCCAAAAATATCTTATGATGGTAAAAGGTGAATTCTCTTGAAGTCTCTGGAATGAAGCAGCATTTGGGGGACTGTTATCTAGGAGAGAGGACTCTAAATAATAGCTCCTTGCTCGGAGTTCTCCATCAATTCATAGATAAGTCAATTGGCACTCATCATTTTAGTCATTGGAGGCTAGTACAGTTAAGAGGAATATAAAGTGTACTACAGGCAATAAACAGAAGCCTTGTAACAATATAATGTGTAGTGGGAAAGAGAATTGGAAGATCTATAAAAACTGCCAAAAAGAACAAAAAATATAATTAAGGGAGCAAAAGACATATTGAACACATTCTCAGGGACTATTTCAGACAGCAGTAAATGTCTCTCCAAATGTATCTTAGAAAACGGAAAGCAGAGCAGGGAAGTAGTTCCACGAAGAGAAGAGGAAAAATACCAACTAGAACTGTAGGCAAAGGTAATAAAGAGTAGGGTTTGCTTCTGTGAATTTTCACCTTTCTTTAAACTATTTAAGTGTCAACTACTCCACAGATCAGACAATTAGAAGGTCTTAATTGAGAGTAGGTCAGAGGATGGAAGAAGACAACATAAACCAACGTGACATTTTAGGTAGACAAGCTCAAAATAAAGCCAATAAACTGGAGTATAGATAATAATTGAATTTGGAGTTCCCAGCCAAGCTTTCCTAATACAAATTATTTTAAGTTATATATTATTTAAGAACACACTCCCTTTCTCCTATTTTGTGAAGGCATGTCAGTTACACAAGAGTTCCTCAACAACAGAAAATAACATTTCTAATAGAAAATGTTTTCTTGACAGTGAATTTTCATTACTTGGACCAAAGGGTTTCATCTAGTGAAACATGTCAGAGTTACCTGGGGAGTTTTGCCAATAAACACACCCCTGTTGAGACCTATCTCTGTGGAGTATCTTTTACCAATCTTTGGAAATACACTGAATGTTATCACTCTTACTTCCTGAAATGATTAGCCACTGTGTTGAATTGTAATTGCACAAAACAACTGATAAATTAAAACAAATTATGGGATAATGACAATGTGTTACAAGATGTGACAGACAGAGCTGATTCAGGAACAGAGCGAAATTTGGATGTGTACTAAACTAATCCCTGGCAGAGAAATCTCACCACTGGTATCAGAGGAGTTCTTTGTGATGGGCAGTTGCCCAAGTTTTCTTAATGTAGTGTCTAGAAAGACAAAGTATAGCCAATCAAATGGACCATCAAACTTGTGACCTCCATCGCTCTTTCACGCACACACATTTCCACATAAACATCTTTCCAATGAGTAGTATAGAACATTTTCCATCTCTCTCAGGAAACCAAACTTGAAATCCACATGTTGTATTTCTAATTTAAAACAAAATAAATAAATTACCCATTTAAAAGGATGTGATTTTAATAGGAAACACTAAAATAGTACTGTATATAAGTGTAATGTATATACACATTTATACACAATTGAAATTTAGAAGCATAGTGTTGGATGAAAGGCAATCAAAATACCATTTTACAAGCAAGAACAATCATTCTAATGGCAAGAGATTTGGGCACTTTGAATTTAAAGGAAACATTTCTTCAGATTTTATTGGAAAATATCAGACTTCTGATTTTAACACTTGAGAAGCTAAATTTGTGTGACCAAGCTAGAGGAATATAGAAACAAAGGTCTAAACATCAGTTATTAAATACCCGATGGTGTGTGTGTGTGTGAGAGAGAGTGAGTGAGACAGAGAGATGGAGAGACAGAGAGAGTGAGACAGAGAGAGAATGGGAGGGTTTAGACACTGATTCCAGCCCTAAACTGGAAAAGGGACAGAAAGTATAGAGTTGGTGTATTTCTCTGCCCAATGACCTCAGTTAACCTTACAATGCATGACCAAAATGGCCTCGTGTATAATATCTATTTCTCTGACTTGTAATTATTTCAGGCAAATTTCAGATATATTACTTTATGACTTAATATCTCAGTATGTATCTATTAAAATATACAGAATCTTAAAAACATAACCATAATGCTATCATTAATCCTAACAGAGATTTTATCTAATGTGATCAAGTACCAATTTGCCATTCTGATTTCTTCATTTGCTATGGAGTTTTTATGTCACGTATTACAATGGGCTATAGTGTCTCCTAGAGCTATGGTTTAACGCATTTTTTCCTCTCTCCCTTGCCCTGTAAGGAAATTGCCATTTCAATTGTTTCAACAGCAGGAGTACAGTATTTATGAGGAGTGGGTGATGTTTGCTTACTTTTTAGATAAGTTTCTCTAATTGTTCCTTCTTTTAGTCAATAATTTTATAGAAGCTAGTTCAAAGATTAAGACAGTAAAGTAATAGAATTCAGGCTGCCTATAGCCAAAAGCGAGAACCAGACATGGATATAATCAACTCTAATAAAAGGCAAAATACAATATATTTTTAGAGTGTTCTACAGTGCTTGCTGTTGTATTAGTATTAAAAGAGTGATACAGTCCCAGTTTCTCCACGAACATGACACGGTGTGGTGAGGGCAGCCCTGGGGACAACTCCATCAAACACCAAAACTCTGTGGAGCATAATTTAATAGGTAATCTCCAGGATTCCTTCTAGCTCTAAACCTCTGAGTGAGCACGAGTGGTATGGTATAATTCATGATGCCTTTGTAAGCTCACGGACTTCCCTTAAAGGTATACTTGAGCAAAGCCAGGGAATATTAAGGAGAAAAAGTTACCAACTGTAGCTTTTCAGCTAACTTGAAGTATTTCGGGTTTGTCAACAACTCTACAAGAGTAAGCAACACACTGACATGCTTCAGTTCCTCTTCCAAGCAAAAACAAAACAAAATACCCACCAGCGACAAAAGTCATCCATTTGGAGAAAAGTTGCAGGTGACACAGAAAAACTCCGAGGCCTGGGTAGGAAGGTTTCAGTAAATCTGCTGTACATTTATTTATGCCTGGATACTTTGTCTTTGGAATTTGTTTTTTCTCTGTGTGTCTGGTGTTTTGTATTTTGCTCCTGAGATTCATGCAACTGCTTCTTTAGGCACAGACGGCACACATTGTCCTGGAAGATGGAACAAAGATGAAAGGTTACTCCTTTGGCCATCCATCCTCAGTTGCTGGTGAAGTGGTTTTTAATACTGGCTTAGGAGGGTGAGTATGCTTCTGTCTGAATGCTTTTTTTCCCTTTATGTAGAAGAATACCTGGGTGATGTCACTCATGGTTACAGGCTGAAATCACCACACCATTGGATTATAAATTGTAATTACATAGGGATTTGTGTATGGCCTACTGTAGTCAGCCTGGAAGACAGGTATAGACACACATTTGCTGTTCCTGCAAAAAAAATAGAACATGGAAGCTTCGGTGGTTCCTTAAACAAAACAGAAGAAAACTAATCCTAGAAGTGTATGTTGTGAAGTCATCAGTTAAGGGAGACTATCACATGGGGAAGTATTGATTTGATGGCTGGGAACTGAGCTTAGGCTCTCCATCAGAGCAGTAAGTGCTCCAAATCTGTCAGCCATCTCTTTAGCCACATACCTAATATTTTTAATAATATTTTGACCAAATTTTTGTATTTAAGATTTACTAACAAGCAGGTGACAATGACAATGAGAATTACATAATTTATACGGCTGATCTTACCTAGACAGCAAACATTTGTTCAAATGGGGACCAGGAGCCTCAATTTTTGGTATTAGGATGTAATAGCTGAGAATGGGCTGTTGAAACCTTCCCTAACCTTTTGGAGTTTCCGTTTTCCTGCTTAAAAAGTAAGGGGGCTAGATTACACAATAATTGGCATCTTGGGACTTAAACCACATGTATATTAGGAAAAACTTGACTTGATTATTTTAAAAGGTTTCCTTTAGAGACTCAGTCAGCTATCCACGTGTGAGATATCTGATGAACACTTCAGGGAAATTCACTTTAGCCTTGTAAAGACAAAGGAGCACTGGGTTAACTGATACTGAGTGTATTGATAGATCAAGCCTGTCATTATGTTATTAATGTGCAGCTTCCCTAAATACTCACCTCTCCGTGTCAAATGAAGACTATTAGGTGGTTTTTGAATCAGCCCCGGTGGTGAGAACATTAAATTACAGCACAGAAAACCTGTTTGCAAAGTTTTGCTCCGCCAGGCAATTATTTAAGCTTTTCGACAACACTAATTACTAGCTGTGTTAATATACCTGCCAACAAACAACTGTTTAATATAGATCAGAATGATGGAGGGCACTAGAGTTTTCTTCTTGGTGATAGATTGCGGGTAATAAATCTTGTCACATCACAAAAGTCAAACAGGACCTGATGAATTAATTTGCTCCTGACACTGTAGCTCTCTCTTGCACACGCTACATTTATGAATTCTCCAGAGAGCACCATAAGCCTGTGTTTAAGGGAAAGACCAGGCCCCTGAAAGGAAGAAAGAAACCAAGGACGATAAAATTAATTCAAAGCTTCTCTTAGTGTAGGAAACACATTCACGTGTTGGGTTAGTCGACAGACCTTATGTTTTATTGAGATATGTAGATTCCATCCATTGTCTGGCTCACTCAGTAACATGGTTATAATTAAGGTTTATTTTTATCTTCAAGAAATACATTTATATTTTGTGGAAGCCTTGGTTAAAAAATGATCAGGTGCTGACAGATGAGAGGCATCTGAGAAATAAGCTGATGGAAACTTGAGCTCTTGCCTTTCCCTGGGGAAGGTGGGACTGGAGGACAAAGTTGATGAAGTTAGTTCTGGGTGGACTTAGGCTGGATGCAGTTGAAGAATTTATGTCGACTGCTCTCTGAGCTCTATTGGATTGGCTTCAAGGTTGTCGATTCCGTCTTGCTCAGCACCTAAATTCACACTTTCAGTTGTAATCCACAAGAAAGATTTGTTTTAACTGTGTCTGCAGGAAGACAAAGTGTAAGAGGGCAGGGAAAAAGAAATCAGCTATAGTGTCTTCAAGTGCATGGAATAAGTGTTGCTAGTTTTTACTATTTATAGGAAAATGTTCCCCTTACCACATAATGTTACATGCATGCACACATGCACGCACTCTTCTCTCCAACTTTAAAATTTTGTGATTCTTCCATTTTTAGTACTTTAAAATAGTTATTTGGAATCTTAACTTTTAAGTTAGTATTGCTGCAGGTGAGTGATTTTTTTCCTAGTTTATAACTATCAAACTTATAAGCTTCACTTTAATACTAAATGTTTTAAAAATCAATGTTCTTGAGCTATTCTTTCATGTGCATTAACTCCTTAGTGAAATTCTTTACAGAGTTCTAATAGGTATATGCACTCATGTGGTTAGTACTGTCACAATGGGTCCTTCAGTGCCCTAATGTATATTGAAAATTATCTTAAGCTTTTTGAAGGTTAATATATTTGTGTAACTTTCAGCCTTCAGCAGTATTAGCTTTTTTCCTCAATATCTAGTAGGCTATGAGAGCTTTTAATATATTTACAAATGTTAAACTGGCAGCAATGTATAAAAAAATTAAAATATTGTCCACGTAGTATTGGTGCACATCCTAAATTCCAGCACTTGGGAGGGAGAGTTAGGTGGATCTCTTTGAGGCCAGCCTGGTCTGCAAAGGGAGTTCAAGGACATCCAAGACTGTTACACAAAGAAACAATGTTTCTAAAAAAAACCAAAACCAAAACAGCAAAAAACCCAACCCAACCCAAACCAACCCAAACCAAAACAACCCTCCAAAAAACGAACCCCCAAAACTAAATTATTATTAGACAAATTAAAAATTTAAATGAAAGAATAAAAACATGAAAATTACCCTTGAATCAGAGTCAGATTTTCTGTTCATATTAGTTATATCATGGATAAAATTTGGCATTCTCAGGAAATTTCTTTAGGATTGCTGAAGCCTGGAGACAGATTTTAGGAGTTTAAACTCGTAGCCTTTTTATTCAATGGTTCAGTGACTCAGAATATGTACAAATACAATAGTTTTGCACTTATAATCCTGTTTTACTGACAATACCCTGCCATGTCTACCCAGGTACCCGGAAGCACTTACTGACCCTGCCTACAAGGGGCAGATCCTCACCATGGCCAACCCCATTATTGGGAATGGCGGTGCCCCTGACACCACTGCACGAGATGAACTGGGACTTAGCAAATACTTGGAGTCTGATGGAATCAAGGTAGCACCCGTGATGGCGTGTTGAGAGTCTCCATTTGAAAATGTGTGATTGGTTGACTTCTAAGGATGTAAGAAAGGCAAAGTTCCTCTCATGAAACTGTATGATATCCACATTTTTAACCCTATTCCTAAGTGCATGAGGTTAATCTTCAACTTGACAAGTTAAAGTTTTATTTATTTATTTGTTAACTATTTATTGGGATAGTTTAGATTTTAATGCCTTGGAGGAAACTTATTGTAATGCATAAAATATCGCTATATGTCTAAGTAATTGCCTTTTAATTTAAGTGCTAATAAATGATAACCTATGATGATTAGAAAATTAGCATGTTCAGATCCCCTATTCAAGGATGAATAGGGGTTGTCTTGGAATATGGAGCACATAAACAGTTTAAAATTTACATTCCTACTTCACTGCCTTGACCTCACATTTCTCAGAATTTTCTCCAGTTTACTCAGTCTTTTATGCATGTATATTAAGGTTATTTTATCTACTGTATACACTAAATAACTAATTGCAAGCTATATTGTTGATAAACCAAATGATTGAAAAGCACAGTGTGTCTGGAAGAGACAGTCCCTTCATTTGGGGATTTGCCTGAAGTAAACCTGCTTTCCCAAAGGACCAATTAGGAAGCATTCAGTATAAGTGCTGACAACCTTTTCTTATATCTTGTCTTCAAAATGTTAAGACTCTTATCAATGGCTAAAAATACATTAAAAATGCAAACAACAGTCACCTTGAGTCACAGGAAGCGCATAGTGTTTGGTGAATTCCCCTTCACAGTGTCTGGTGTCTTCCTAGGTGGCAGGTCTGCTGGTGCTGAATTACAGTAATGACTACAACCACTGGCTGGCTACCAAGAGTCTGGGGCAATGGCTGCAGGAGGAAAAGGTGAGAAGCCCCATAGGTTGCCTTTTTAGCATACCTGGTTAACCGGTCTGGGGGAAACTGGGGAGGTCTTTAGATACTTTAAATACAGAGGATGAGGACTCTTGTGCTGCTCTGGATATCTCAACTGTGGACAACGACGACAGCAACAACAACAAACCTGTGTTCCAGAACTGTCTCCGAATACATATTTTCAGTTCATCCACTAGGTGGCGCGCGCACACACACACACACACACACACACACACACACACACACACACACACACACACACGAGCGGTTGTGTTTCTCATTTAGAAAACGCAATTGGAAACATTTTAGAAATTTCCATTCTCTTGAGGAAATTAGTCACTTATACTATTTTATCTACAATTTAACTACCTAGTCTGGGTTCTAGCACAAGGTATACTATGAGCTGTATGTGTAGGGCGTATAATCATTCAATTCAATATTTTTTGCCATCTTAATTCTTACCAGTTTAAATCGATTCTCATTAAGTATTTTGGGTTTTAAACATAACGATAAACTAAGAGGATATGATTTCCCTTAAAGTAATATGGGAAAAGGTTGAACCTTGCATTCTTTCCATAGTTTAAATGTTAATACCTCATCAGAGAATTCATCCCAAGTGTTAGGAATTCTTAATAGTAACAGACCTGCTACATTTAGTTTCATCTTCATTGCTACTGTAGCTGGCTTTGCTCAACTGCTGCTAATCTGTGCTTAATAGAATACAGTGCCCAGAAAGTTCTGCCTCTCCAATGAATGTTCATCTATTGGGATCAATGTTACCCTTTGTGACAAAATAAAAGTAAAAACAAAAGTCTTGGGCCTGGATTCCTAGGTCCCAGTTCCTAAAGTTTAAGAAGCAAGAAGGCACCTCTGTCATGTGCTGAGGCACCACTGATATATTCCCAACCATTGCACCTTTACTTATCTTGGTTTGGATGGCTTTTGTAATGATTATTGAGCACTCAATCTCCCCCTCTGTAGTCTGTCTGTCTCTCTGTCTTTTTGTCTGTCTCTTTGCCACCTCTCTTTTTCTACCTCTCTTCGTTTTTATCCTCACTCTCTCCCTGTCTTCATTTCTCTCTTCCTGTCTCCTCTCTGTCTCTCCCTCATTCACATATATATACATGTACTCTTTGTGCTATCTAGCACATTTGATTTTCTTCATGTTAGAATTAATAATTTTGGTGTTAATATTGTTAGAGTGTGCTTTCAATGTACGAAGACCATATCTGTCTTCATCAAACTTAGTCTAAAAAAAAAGAGAAACTCAAAGGATGTATTGCCTCATTGATGAATAGGGTGAACAAATATTAGGGAAACATGACTATACAACATAAACCTTAAGAAAAAAATGTGTTGAGTACATACTATGTGCCAGGAATATTTGGCTCAAAATATATCTGTGTATTATTTCCTACAAAGTTCACTGATTTGACTCTTTAAAATATAGGTTTTTAAAAAATATGTTGTACCTAAACTATAAAATTATACACATATTTCAAACCACATATATGCATGCACACATATCTCATTATTTCAAAATGAATATTTGTATAGAATGTGACCTATTTAATATCTGGGGTTAAGCAGCAAAGCTATTGCAAGAGATTGATGTGCAGAATTTCTTGTTTTTTTTTTTATTCTGAGGACAATCTTGGGCAGTAGGAGTTTTGTGCTTAAGTAGAGCAGCAATTTCCTTGGAACTGACAACACCATCACCCTGGGTCAGGGAAAAGAGGGAGTGGAGAAATTATTTACTGCTCAAGAAGATAGATGAGGCTAAGTGTCCAACTAGAAAACAATGTGCTGGCTCTAATCTCCTCTCATTCCACTGTCACTGTGATTTTCTTTTTCTTACAGGTCCCTGCAATTTATGGAGTGGATACAAGAATGCTGACTAAAATAATTCGGGATAAGGTATGATCATCATCTTTAGCTTAATCTCTGTCTCTTCTCATTTCCCCCCAGTGCATGAAGGACTCACTAATACACAAAGGAGAAAACCTGGCCAGCTCCCTCTGCTCAGTCCTATGTCACTTTCCTTTACTCTTCTTATGTGGTTTCCAGGTGGAGTCCTTGATGACCAGGCATGCAGCTGGGTGGACCTGAGAGCAACTTACCTGGCAGGAATCTATTGAGTGCCTACTATGTGCTGATAATGGCAAAAAGTGTAGACATTATAATTCTGCACACATGACAGTCTTCTAGTGGAACAGAGAAAGTATTTACAAACTGTGTAAAATTTGACCTAATCAGAATCCTCTATGCTGAAAAACGCAAATCAGAAACTATAGAACATTGATGCTATTTTTACTCAGGTCTCCACGAAGGTCTGTTTGTGAAATTCATGAGTTTTGTATCATGAGTGTGGGTTATCTCAATTAAAGAGTCTTTCCTAAGATTGGATTCAAAGCCAAAGAAACTTAAGGCAAGGTTTTCTTTGCTGTCCTGTCTGATGGCTGCAACATCTGACCCCCCATTTGAGAATATCATCACTACTTGCTCCTTCTTTCCGCTATCAAGTTTCTTTGCTACTTGTATCTTCATAATCCATATCAGAAAGACGCATTTCCTCATCAGTGTTCACCAAATTCCCCAAATGCAACTAAGTTTTCTCACCAGATGTTAACACATTAAAAAAGAAACAATATAATTTGGTCGTATATAAGGACACAGGTCCTTCCGGAGAATATGTTGTGGATTCCTTGTTCAAATGTAGCCAGTCCTCTGCATCTGTAAGTTTTTCACAAACTATTAGAAGGCGCCTGTAAAATTTCCTACAAACGTTTCATCATTAACCCTTAATTTACAGTGCAATGGCCCTTCACATAATACTTGCATTGCATTAACTACTGTAAGTGACCTAGACATGATTTAAAGTCATAGATCCATTTTATATGATGGATCTGAGCACTGTGGATTTTAGTATTCAAGGAGGTTCCTAGAACCAGTGCCCTGAGGCTATCAAAGGCAAGTGTATTGACACAGGCTGTCTGCAAACAGAAAGGAGGAATGTGAGCATGGCAGCACCTGTGACCTGACAGAAGGCAGTGAGAGTTCCTGCTGTCACCTACTCTGCTTCTCATGGCATTGGTGCTTCAGTGATTTTCCTGGGAAGAGACTTCAGTGAGATTATGTATCCCAAGTGGATTCTTATGTTTCCTTGGCCTAACAGTGTATGGGAGTTGTAAACAATGACAAAGCATCTAGGACCTGCAGGAATTCAGAATGCAAGCCAGGCTGCAGGATTAGCAGGCTGGATAGAATATAGCCAGGCCTGATGACCTGTGAAAACTCTTCCCCAGACCACACTGTGTCTTCTGCATGGTGTGCTGGACTCAGATGAACTCTATTTTTATCACGGGGACTTCGATTTTTAGAAGTCTAGCTGAATAGTGTAGGGTACATAATAGCATTACCTGTTATATTTGTTTATGGCTGATACTGGCTCATACTAAAAATGTGTGTCATGGCTTTCACTCCCATTACTCATAGTTTGAAAACTCAAATTGCATTTCACACATCATCAGGAAGGAGAAAAGCAGGTTGCAGAATTTGGGATGCAAAAATAGAAATGTGCAACTTGGGTTTAAAAAGTAGGTAGAAATCACCATGTACGTCAGTGTGGAAGTAAAAGGGGGTTAGGGTTAAATTTGCAAGGCTTTGATCCAGCACCCTGGTTTTAACAAAATTTTAGCACTAAAATCCATGATGGTTCCATGGTGTGTGGGAGTTTTCAACCCGCATTCACATAATGACTTCTCCAAGAAATCAGTTTAAAAGGAAATAAGACTTTTGTTTCCTTCAATGCAATAATATTGTAGAGGAAATCCTGGCAAGTAGATACAGTATGGTATTTTCCTAGACACCTCAAAGCAGACATCCTGACAAACAAGGAGATCTCAAGAGACAGCCAATAAAAAGAAGACAAAGTTGCCATGTCCAATCTAGCAAGGGTGACTGTGAAAATGTTGCAGATGGTAAAATTTTGGCAATTTGGGAACCTGCATATTGATGTGTCTAACATAGTGAAATACTTTTACTGTGACTTCTAGAATTTTCTGACATTAAATTTCAATTTCTTTGTCTTTTTTTGAGGCTCAAATTTACTATCAAATTATATAATAATTTCTGTTTATTTCTTGGTAGTTTTTAGGTTTCATCTTCCCTTTCCAACAGATTATTTTGTCTACTTCTCCTGTGTAATAATTTTAGACCCAACGAACTAAGGTCTCTGGGTCCCTGTTTAACCTATGCTAGTTTGGAAACTGTTGACCTGAATTCGGATGTCACTTAACTTTCCTCACAAAGGACAATGGCCTTAGTGCTGAAATAACTCCTCACAGGACTGGGAAGATGGCTCAGTTGCTAAAATGTTTTCCTTGAGGAACTAAGCTTAAGTTCCACCCATATAAAAATTCCTGTACATGGGGACACCAGAGAAGCAGAGTCAGGCAGATCTCTATGTCTGAATGACCAACTAGCTGCTAGCCACTGAAAGACTTACCTCCAAGGTAGACTGGAGGAACGACACTGAGGTTGACATCTAGCCCCCATTTGCATAAGAATGCAAGCACACAGTTCTGTGAATACATGTGTACCAACACACCCTCCTTCACTCACATGAAAAAGAAAACAAACTAATTGCATTTTCTGAAATGCAGCTGCCAACCACTTTGCATTCCGGTTGGAGAAGATGAAGATGTGATGATGGCTAAAAGTTGTTATGAAGATATCTAAATGATGAAACAACTGTGGGTTTATCCTTTGTGGGCTTATCCTTTCAATGTAACATTGTTACTTCCCACTGTATGTATTTTGTTTTAATTCAATAGGGTACCATGCTTGGGAAGATTGAATTTGATGGACAGTCTGTGGATTTTGTGGATCCCAATAAGCAGAATTTGATTGCTGAGGTTTCAACCAAGGTGAGAAAATTTTCTTCTTTCTTTCTAGTTTTGTTTCATTCATTTTAAGCCTACTGACTTTCTAATATTAAAATATTTATTTAGACAGGGTTCCACAAAACTTTTTTGTGTCATATTTAAGCTAAAGAATTAATGTTCACAATTATGCCTAAGTAACTCCATAGTGAATCATGTTTAGTTTTGTTTATTAAAATGGTATAGAACACTTTAGAGTCATGCCTCTTGGTCTTGATTTAATGTTTTGTAATGAAGGTCCGAATGAATCTTGTGTGTTACTCTTTCTGACCTTGGAGACCATAGGAGTCTAGTAGGAGAAGCAAGCAAGTCAGCCAGCATGTGCAGAAACCTGTGATAAAATAAAGGCTGTCCTTGGAATGCTCACAGGCCACGGCTAGACCACTCATGGTGCAGCACCAAAATGAGACAGGTGTATTACAGAAGGCTTGGTGAGGTGTTAAGGCTGATAGCAGACACAAAGACCCAGCAGTTACAGATAAACAGAAATTGAGCTGTTTCAGGCAGAAAGGATGGCACAATGTTGAGAGGCAGAGACTTGTGGAAGCTAAGTGTGTTTGATGAGTAGAAACAAAGCATTCGCTTATATGAATACAATACATTTGGCCAATGATGGATGGATGCCTACTAGATCTGGAGAGTTTTGTGTATTAGTGTATTGTTGCTGAAGAACAGTACTGCTATGGAAATTCATTCAGTATCTTTTTAGAGCAAAGTGTAGGTGGATAAAGTTTCAAGCAACTTGAAAATAAAATCCTGGCATTTTCCAAATGTCAGGAACACCAGCTTAGAGAAATTCACCTTAAAAAATTCTGTGGTCAGTTGAAAACACTATATGACACATTAATTTTCAGAATCCTAAAGCAAATTCACACTTTCATGTGTCTGTGATGTTTTGTATAGCTTCTGCTATTTGATATGGAAAGGATATGTGAGTGGTCCTCTATATCTCCAGGCTCCATATCTGAGTATCTAACCAAATATGAGTCAAAACTACTGAAAATTGTGACGTATATTGTAAATGTGCACCTCTTTTCTCCTTGCATTTTTCTAGTGCAGTGTGATGATTATTTACATGAAATTTACCTTTTATTAGTTACAGTAAATCAGAGCTTATTTAAAGTGTGTAATTTCTATGAAAATATTGTATGGTTTTAGAAAAGGGCTTTCAGAATCTCTGGGGTTTGGCTCACAGAGTGTCTGGTACAATTTCCAATAAGCTCATCTATCTATCTATCTATCTATCTATCTATCTATCTATCTATCTATCCATCCATCTATCATCTATCTATCTATCCATTATCTATCATCTATATCTATCCATTATCATCTCTTAAATTAATTCTTATTATTTTGATGTTATTATTATTATCATTAGTATTAGTGTGTATATGTGTCTGTGTCTCTCTGTGTGTACATGTATATAGGTCAGAATAAGACAACTTTGTAAATATTGTTTTCTCCTTCCACCTTTATGTGTGGATCTAGATATCGAACTCAGGTCTCCATGTTTTTAAAGCAAGTGCTTGATATACTGAGTCATCTCACCAGTTCTATATTTTTACCCACGTCAAATAAAGTGTCCCTCATGACAACAGCTGGTTCTCTTAATGCCTTGGTGACTGAATAATGTCGTGATGGCTGTGATAAAATGTGTATGCAGATCAGGAAGTTATATAAAATTTGAGTTTTGTTTTATTGTATGCCTTGGAAATGTTGATCATTTAATTCATTGTCGTCTGATTGCAGTGTTACATAGCTATCACTATCTGGTAGCATTGTTTTACTTTATAGAAGGAGCCCAAGGTTAAGAATAAATCAGTACTTCTTTTTTTCCGTTAGCCATGGAGTTTTTTAAAGGGGAGGGGGAGCGAGAGAGGGGAGTGGGGGCAAAGGGTGAGAGAGGAAGAGAAGAGCAGAAAGAACAGTAAGAGAGGTAAATCAGTGCTTTTACAAATTGTCTGACGAGAGACTTTACCTGTGTCATTAATGATCATTCAGTAATAGTTCTCTAGATTCAGTGTTTTCCTTCCAGAATAGCTACAGAAGGAGAAAGCAAATGGCAGAAGGCCTTTTAGTATCTTCTCCTCTAGCTCACTTGAAGGATTATGGATGTATGCTATATATAGAGTTTGCCGAGAGGTAGACATTTCAAGTAAAGCATGTGTTCCTTCACATATTCAGGATATGTGATACCCTTGTCTTCCATGGAGTCATTCTAAATTCAGAGTATTCTACCTAACTCTTGAAGCCAGCTCCAGTGTGGCCACCAGATGCTCTAGGCTTCCTGCTTCCTCTTTTGTTCCTTTTGCTTTTTATGACTAGAGAATTGCTTCTTGGGTAAATGCCTGCAAAAATCGATCTGCCTCCAAGCCGTACTTAAGATGTTGATAATGATTATGTTATGCTCTGGGATCTTTCTTATGAAATCTACCATTTAAATGCAAATGACTATCTGGTAATCTAAAGGGACCAGGTGGTCTACACTAGCTGAGGAATTCTTACGACTCTCATATTGATTTTACCCATTCAGCTTCTCTCCATAAGCCTAATATACAGTGACTTAGTGCTATCGTATTTGATCTGCACTGCAGTTTGATGATCAAGTGTTGTTTAAGGCATGATGTATCCATTACCTCGTCTGCTTCCTGCTGAATCAGACAATAATATTTGAGACTTTTATTGCTAATGAGGCAAAACATGGGGATGATGGTTAACTATGGAAGCAGCCAACTTCTTAAAGATCTTTCTTATCACTGTAGTGAATAGTTTATATAAGACAGCAAAGTACTTTTTTTCTCATAAAAAAAATACAGTCTGTGGTATTTGCTGTGCTTTTCTTACAAATTGATTTTTAACTGCCAGTCACTCCCCAGCAGTTAGCAATCAATCTGTTACACATCTAAGTACAAAACACCCTCAGTGAATTTACAGTCTGGGCCTGGTGCTTACACTGGGGATCTCCTCTCAATGGCTGCTTTTTTAAATGGCAGGATGTCAAGGTGTTTGGCAAAGGAAACCCCACGAAGGTGGTAGCTGTGGACTGTGGAATAAAAAACAATGTCATCCGCCTCCTAGTTAAGGTAAGTGATTCACCCCCTCTAGAAGCTGAGGCTTGTAGTGCTGATGTATTGTTTGTACCATTTGTTTAGGAGAAGGCTTCCCTTGAAATGTCAGGAATCTCCTCTTTTTGATCCACAAAAGGACACATATATCCCTGTTCAAATTAAGGATTCAGACAACTATGTCTTAGAAAAAATCTCCAAGTACCAAAACCCATAGAAAAATGACTTTTCTCATTAGTTTGTTTTTTTTAAACTTATTCATTTTATCCTTTTAGTTAGCAAATGAAGAACAAGGTTTTCTTGTGGCATCTTGATACATGATTAGTTTGGGCTTCCCCCTCTTCTCCTTGTTCCCTTCCAATGCTAGTATCTCCTTTTTAATTTTGTAGTGTGCTATAGTTGTCTCCATATTCCCCTCTTTAAAGCCTCCTTTTCCTTCCTCGTCAGCCTCTTTCTAGTTTTCTGACCTCTACCTACACTCATTCCAATACGCATACATATATCCTAACACCACACACACACACACACACACACACACACACCATATAGTGTTAGGATCCACACATGACAGAGAACATACACTGTTCTTCTGAGCCTGGGTTACCTCGTTTGAATCACACTGACTATCCTTATCAGTTATTTTGAGACAGTCCACATTCACTTTGAGGTTTGGAAATGGAAGAAAGCCAGGGCTGTCTGAGATTGCCTCTGTTAGACTACATTTATTATGCACCATATGCTTACAAGAATTATGTCCTGAAATTGTAAGCCTTCTGCAGAGATTTACATAAAATCTTTGAAAGCTAATTAAACATGAACCTTAAAATGTTTAAGGACTACATGAACAAGGGGGTGCTCATGGACCCCAGACTGATAGATAGGCAACCAGTATAGGACTGACCTAGACCCCCTGAACGTGGGTGTCAGTGAGGAGGACTGGGAAATCTATGGGGCCTCTGGTAGTGGATCAGTATACGAATGACCTTTGGGAGCCCATTCCACATAGAAGGATACTCTCTCAGCCTAAACACACGGGGGAGGGCCTAGGCCCTGCTCTAAATGATATGACAGACTTTGAAGATTCCCCATGGAAGGTCTCACCCTTCCTGGGGAGAAGAAAGTGGGTGGGATAGGGGGCTGGTAGGGGTTAGGGGATAAATTTTATTATCAAAATTCTTCAAGAATCTTTTAGTAGTAGATTCACAAAAGAACTTTTCATATTCCACTCCTATTTTGGGTATTTTAATCCCCATTTTTCAGTTGCAGGAATTACAGGTCTCTTTGACTAAGGAACTTCTCTAGTTAGATAGAGCCAATTTTCCATCAAGAAACACAGAATTTCCCCTAGAACACTCCCCAACCATTGAACATAGAGTCACACTGTAAAGTCCCTTTGCCTCAGGCATGGATCATATCTAAGTACTCAATGCTGGTTTCATGTTCCCCAAGGACCTCACACTCTGGTTGTTCACTGTGGTAACTGTTGTATACTGTACTGGGGTGTCTTGTGTCATTTCTCCATCCCATTTATGTGTATTGTACAAACCTTCCCAATATACTTTCAAATTCTCATCTCAGGGAGCTCTAGGGGAACTTTCAAAGGTAGAAAAGTAATTAGACTTTTTTTCTGTAATTTTCTTTATACTCCATCTACTCTCCATTTCTCTTTGTCTATGATCTTTCCTTTTTAAGTAATATTTTTGCTCTTGGGAAATTCTATACATTCATACAATGCATGCTGATTAGACTCAGCCTACCCTACCTCCCTTCCAACTGTCTCTTGTTTCCCCCTCTCCATTCTGCTTCATGTCCTCTTTTTATTTATTATGTTTTTGTTGTTAATAGCCCCTTCAGTCTAATTAGTAGAGATTATGCACACATGAGTGTCTTTCTGTCCTTTGGAGTATGTCTGCCTGCTGCTGGGCCAAAGGAGAGGGACTCCTTCTCCCTCAACAGCTGCCCATTCCATTGCCCATAGCTCCTTTGATAGGGGTGGGTCCTCAGGGGCCTTCCCTCATCCACACTGGAATTTTGACTGGCTTGATCTTGTGCTGGTGTTAGGTAGGTAATCACAGCCATTGTGAGCTGATGTGTACAAAGGCTGTGCCCTGTCCAGAAGTCAGTATTTCACAGCTCCCCTTCCATCCACCGTCTCTTCCATTCTTGCCTGCCCCTCTTACACAAATGTCCACGAGCCTCAGACAGTGGGAGGTTAACTTACATGACCCACCTCGAGCTGGGTACTGAGTACTTGGTGTTTTGACAAGCGCTGAGTCTCACTATTAACTACCACCCACTGCTGAAAGAAGTTTCTGTGACCAAAGGTTGAGAGCAGCACTGATCTACGGGCATAAGCATACATACCTGAAATCCTGATTATTTAGTGAAACAACAGCAGCAAATTACTCCCTAGGGTCTATGATCTCCCCAAGTTGTGAGATTTTGAGCGGGTTTATGGTACCAGTCACAAAAATCCCTCCTGTAGAATAGGCCTCATATCCAGTCAGAAAGCAGTCGGTGAGCTCCATAATCTCAATGCCACTGTTACAACAGTTTCTACATCTAGCCAGTCAGTCAGCATCGTAGCATACAAGGTCCAGTGCTGGGTAAGGCCAGTGATGACTTTCTTCTGCAGTAGCTTGCACAGAAGCTGTTGGCACTGTGCAAACTAGCCAGAAGGACAGGACTTTGCCTCTTCAAGGTAGACCCCTTCTCTCCTGTTTGCTTTTATGAAAATCATTTGGTTCCCCCCTCCCCAGAATATAAATAGATCAGAAAACCCTAGAAAGGAAAGTTAAAACTTGTCAGACAAAAAGACGAAAAAGTGAAAGGATGAGATATGGCCACGCATTTGCAGAGGCAGGGGTTTATTTGCCATCCTGTGCTGCAGCTCCTGAGATAGTAAAAACCTCGCTGTCCTGTCAGGGCGAGTTCAGACCCCGAAGCCACTCTTGTACAAGCGAGGGTGCCATTTTCATAAGTAAAAGTTCAGTGTTTCCTACTGACCATTTCTTATACCATATGAAGCACAATGAGACATTAAAATAACATTTTATCCAGTGTTATTAGATTAAACACTATTTTTAAAAAATTCCTTTTAGAGGCTAGTTCTTCAAAGGAAGCCCAAGCAAAAGCACACATGGCCAAAGCAAACGTTCAGCTCATCTTTCTTGTCTTTCTTTTCCAGCGAGGAGCTGAAGTGCACTTAGTTCCTTGGAATCATGACTTCACCCAGATGGAGTATGATGGACTTCTGATTGCTGGGGGACCCGGGAATCCAGCTCTTGCACAACCACTAATTCAGAATGTGAAAAAGGTGCGGTGACCCTGAGATTTGTGTGCAACTGCGTGGGAGGGGAAGGGCATCAAAGAGGTTGTGTTTTATCTATTTGTGCATTTTTAGAACTTACATTAGGACTTGGAGACAATTTTAGCACAGGTATTGTAGAGAAAAGCCAGCGAGGACGTTTAGAAGTGTGGCATTGCTTTGGAAAACAGGGAATTTGCCATGACTGCCTACACTAAAAGTGGCTGGATGGAGTCCCATCTTTACCTAGAACATCCCTCATAATTGCAAAATGACAACCCAGGCTCCTTGCCTCGAGGCAGAAGTCCCAAGACCTTCGAATTTTTGAAATGTTATGTTTGGTTTTTATCTGAATGGCAAGGAAGTCTTAACGAATTCTAGAGCTACAGATCTCTCTTTACATTATAACCAGGGGTTCCTTTCCTAGTTCCTTCATGTTGCTAATGAGGGGTGGGGGATGTTTTGGCTTTGTTCTTTGAGAAGGTGTTTTTCCAGAGTCTGTCTTACTTGTTTGATGATCTTCCCTGACACAGATTTTGGAGAGTGATCGCAAAGAGCCGTTGTTCGGAATCAGCACAGGAAACATAATAACGGGATTGGCTGCTGGTGCCAAATCCTACAAGATGTCCATGGCGAACAGGTAAGGCAATTATGAGATTGTTTGCTGTGGGGCTATCTCTGAAATACCACCGGTAACCAAACACAAAAGGCTTAGAGAATTTACATACCGTTTCCTCAGAGTAAACGGCAGCCATCCTATTACATAGTTCACAGTTGTCTGACCACCTGATACCACTTTTATTACATTTCTCAGAGGCAGCCTTCTCTAACGATAACTTCGCTGTAGTTTAAGGTTATTTTCCTTCTCTCGGCGTGAATTGAAGTTATAATACTCAATCAGATGATATGCCGAAGGAAATTGTTCTGATTTTAAGCTTCATTACAGAACATTGATAACTTTGTAAAGAGCTAGAATGACTCAAGAGCCGAGGACACATGGGATCCTTGGTTTCACTCCTTTGTCCCCCAACACTGCTGATTTACTCCACGCTAGGTGCCCTCCTTCCCTCCTGCTACACAAAGTGCAACTCAGATTGATTCTAGTCTGAGGCATCATCTATTTGTTAACTCGGAGAGTTCTCCTCTGGCTTGAAAACTGCTGTAGCTCCTTTTAAATAAGTTGCTTATTTGTATCTCTGTTAAGCCAGTATGTAATTCTTTTTGTTATGAGTGCCTTTCTAAAACTGATTATAGAGGTTTAATAGACCTGATACTTAAGACTCAACAAGCCTCCCTGAATTGATTTTTTTTGAGGCTGAAATTATTGCGATTAACAATCTGTGACTCTTTTCACAAAGTGGTTTTCACTAAAGCAGATGAAAGGCTGGAAGTTGACTTTATGAGTAACATTTACATTCTCTTCACTTCTTCTTTTCTCTATTCTTTCTTGCCATCTCTCTCCAGAGGACAGAATCAACCTGTTTTGAATGTCACAAACAGACAGGCTTTCATTACTGCTCAGAACCATGGCTATGCTCTGGACAGCACCCTCCCTGCTGGCTGGAAACCGCTGTTTGTGAATGTCAATGATCAAACAAATGAGGTAAGAGCTCTCAACAAAGCTGTTTAGTTGGTGAGAAATTAAGGGCTTTCCTAGTCTGTTATGTACTCTCTTTTTCATGTTTATGGTATATGTGCTGCATGTAACTGTGCAGGTGTGGGGGGGATCCCAGAGCAGGACACCCTATATCTTCTTGTATTGTTCTTTATTGACTTATGAGAGGGCCACTCATTAAACTGGACCATTTGTCTTGTCTGTCTGGCCAGTAAGGTCTCAGGAACCACCTAGTTCTACCCCTTCTTGCTGAAGTTATAAGCACATGCATTGACATGCCTAGTTTCTTACATGGGTGATAGGAATTCGAACTCAGGTCCCTCTTGCTTGTAAACCAAGAGCTCTAATCCATGGAATGATCTCCCTCAGCCAGCTTGCCACTTAAAAAAAGTAATTGCTCTCTCACTTTCTTATTAGTTGACTTGTTAAGATCCAGAACTTGTGCCCCTCCTCAGAATCCATCTTACACATTCATCATTATTAGGGGACAGGTGACACACATCTGTCTGAGGCCAGCCCGGGGTATGTCCTTGAGCCTCACTCAGTACTGGAACAGCCTTTATCACCTTTGGGCAAGTAATGTAAGAGTTGGACATGAGAATTTCATCTTATTTTGAAGAGAGCCCAGAAGGTCCCCAAAGGCTCTGGACCAAATCTGTTTGTTTTTATTATAGTATGGAACCGCCCACCCCAATCTAGCTTCCTCTTCATTGGGTTCTTCTCTAGTCTTACTTAAATAGTCCAGTGAATCCTTAATGTCTCCGATCATGTTACTTCTACTAGAACTAGGAATTTTCCAGAACTTTATTAAGCACTTACCTTGGTTTCCTATTTGAACTTTATTATCTACTGAATAATACATTGCCATACTTGACGTTTGTTGTCATAGAAGGAATCGCTCCCTTTTTCTTATTCCTTTAGGGGATTATGCATGAGAGCAAACCCTTCTTCGCTGTGCAGTTCCACCCAGAGGTCAGCCCGGGGCCAACAGACACTGAGGTATGCCAGCCAGATGATGTCTGCTACGTATTTGAAAAAAAAAATCAGAGCTCAAGACTCAAGAAACAAAAATAACTGGTGAACAATATTCTCAAGGGGATGTTTTTCGGCATCCTGCATTTTGTATTAAATTCCCTCATGAAGATCATGCAGTAAATTTTAATCTTTTCTTAAATTTAAAGTGGGAAAGCCCTTAAGAAACTCGAAGCAATGCTATGATGCTATTTTTACATAAACGCATTATCATTCTAATATATTTAGTTCTGAAATTTACAATTGTTGTGCTATGCAAATGAATTCCCTCTTGCTCTTTCCATCTCATAACTGAAATGAAATTTTAATCCCCCATCTGTGAGTTTAAAAAAAAGTCCCTATGGCAACTGGTTGTGTAGCCACAGAAGAAGAATAAACAGCAGCAGGGGCACGGAAAGGGGCAGCAGGGAAGGGAGCAGACAGCCTGCTTGGTCACCTGATCATATATATATAATTATGGAAAGGACCCATAGTAATGCTCTGAGCAGTGTGTTTCTAACCTGGATATTTTCTCTATTTTGAAACGTGAGCTCTTGGTTGAGTATTCAAGTGCATCTTTCCAACCATAGCTCATGATGACTCCTAGAAAAGCCTGGCATGTCTGAATTGACTCCTCTCCCCCTGCACCCAGGAGGCTCCAGGAGCAGTACCTTTTATCCCTGTCTTCAGGGAAGGTGCTCAGGCAAAAGGAGGAGGGGGAACATGAGTTTCCTTCCGCAATTCCTGCTCTTTCATCCTGGAGTGGATTCTTAGATATGTGCGTGGCACTTTTTAAAAATTCTTATTTGGAAGTATCAGTTCAGAATGGTCTAAGCTGGTATGGTCTTAATTAGTCATTATGAACCTGATAAAACAAAACAACAAAACAAAACACTGGTTACTGTCTTCATGTAATACATGTTAAGTATTTTTTAAATTTAATATTTAAAATTAGAATACTCTAGTACTTCAGATTAGGAATGATGTGATTACTATATATAGTCAAAGTACTATGATTTAGTGTTTTATTTTTTGGTCCTGTCAAATAACTGTCAAATGAGTACTTTTGTTGACACTTGTCATGTCTAGTGAAGCAACAGAATTAAGCTCACTGGTAAAGTTTAAGAATAATCTTTAGGGGTCATTTATTTTAGAGCCAACAGAAATGAGAAAACACTATTTCTGACTTTAAAGTGCATGTACTGTAGCTTCAGGTTTTGATCAACTAAAATTTTATTTGTACAAATGATAGACAATTAAAGAACTAAAAACTTGATATTCCCTAAAGTCTGTATGGAACGTGTTTATTGTCTGTAGAAAACGTCTCATCTTATAGAACTTGGGGTTGAGCCCAGAAGGCTCCTGAAGGTTGCAGGCAAGATATAATATATCTTGTGTGTGTGTGTGTGTGTGTGTGTGTGTGTGTGTGTGTGTGTGTGTGTGTGTGTTACAGAACCTTCACCTAACTGACTCTTTTCTAGTCTTCCCTGGTGTATTTATTTGACTTAATTTGAAAGGAGTAGGCATTCAGTTCTTGGACAAACTCCAAACCCAAACTGAAACCACTAAATAACAAAACCCTCAATATCATGGAGGAACTTACAGCAAACACAGACAAACAGAATGTTTTCTTTCTGATGCGCCCACTCAACTTAGCATCAGCAGTGTGTTTGGAGGCCTTGTGAGTTTAGAAGTGTCTAACTAGCTGGCTCTATTTTTTTTCCTAGTATCTATTTGATTCATTTTTCTCACTGATAAAGAAGGGGAAAGGCACCACCATCACCTCAGTTCTGCCAAAGCCAGCACTGGTTGCGTCTCGAGTAGAGGTCAGTAGATGTGGACTCTGTTTGGTTTGTGCTTCACATGGTTTCTCTAATACGTGATGAGTTTTTTTTTAATAAAATGTTATAAAGTGCATGAATGTCTGTGGAAAACAAATGTCAAAATTATATGTTTTTGTTATCTGTTCTTGGTAACTCATTGAAATTCACATTAAAAAAGTAAAATATTTGTATTAATTCCTTGAGAATTTCATAGTGTATTTTTAATCATAATGACATACCATCCCTCAAATTCTACCAGATCCCCTTCCTTCCCTACCCACCCAACCTCATGTCCTCATTTGATTTTTCTTAAAGCCACCAAGAACAATCTGTAGTACCCATATGTTCTTGGGTGTGTGGTCATCCTTTGTAAAGGATAACTTCCTTAAAGTAAATTGTTTCTTCTTGAGATTAATTCCTAATAGCTCTTCTACCAAAGGTGGCACTCTATATCCAGTTACTTCCTCTATTCTAGAATTTTTTCTCTCCTGAGCTTACACAGGTCTTGTGCATGCTGTCACCAACATCATGAGTTCATATGTGCAACTGCCCTGATATGTCTATGAAGCGATGTTTATTGTAGTCACTCCTCCCTCTGGCTACTAGAGTCATTCTGACCCTCTTCGATAATGGTCCCCAGACCTTGGGAGGAACATATGTACCATTTAGGGCTGAGTATTCATATTTACCCACTCTCTTCACAGAACCTCTGTCCAGAAGAACCACAGGGCCTAGAGGAAATCCTAATATTATTATTCTGCTAAATGGACATAGGAGTAAACCTTTTCCCAATGACTTATTTTTATAGCCATAGATTAGTGCATTTCTTAGCCCTCGTCAGTGAAACTGCTTTTGCAACAGATGGTAATTAACACACAGAGCTACTTGCACCTGGTCAAGTTGCAGAGAATAAGAAATTTAAAATACTGTCTTATAAAATTTCCTTCTAAAAAATTTCCACATTTAGGCTGCTTATAATAAACAACTTAATAAAAAATAGTGTTACCTTTGGTTTGCAATTTGGTATTTTTTCATTACCCATCCTAAACCATAGTCTTTTATAACCCTGAGATGTACTTTAGATTACTGAATCACCTACAGTTGATAGAATCCATTTGTTTAAAATTAGATGAATCATCATTCAGTATAGTAAACCAAATGTTATTATTTACTTCTAAAGGCAAGTGGGTAAAGATTAATATGTATAAGACCCAAGTCATTATATATTTAAATTTTTATGTTAATATGATAAAACTTCTCTGTTTCTTTTTAATTATATACATTTTAGAAGAATGCGTTTGCATTTTAAAAATGTGCAAATATATTTACATGCAAGTATTTTCTGTAGAATAAATGTATTTGGTATTTGCACATTTTTAAGTCAAATATCAGATTCCTTCAATTTTTTTTACTTAAATGACAAAATGCTCGTGAACTTTGGAAAGGGCATTGCAATTAGATATGTTTCAATTGTTAGTCTTTTATCTTGGAAATAGCTATTCTCTTTCAAATGACTTACTTTCATTACTTAGAAATGATAGTAATGTCTCTTTCTTATTGTTCATAGGTTTCCAAAGTCCTTATCCTGGGATCTGGCGGTCTGTCCATTGGTCAGGCAGGTGAATTTGATTACTCGGGATCTCAAGCTGTAAAAGCCATGAAGGTGAGAGAGCATGAGCTTTCCCAGGATTAATATACTCTCTTTAATGAGTCTAATTAGTAGTTTGTAATTTAGATTTATGATGCTTCTTTTCAAAGTCACTATAATTATTTTCCTTAGCTATCATTAGAACTGTGTAGTAAAAGTTTGGTCAAAACCAAAAATTTTAACTGTTTCAAATGTGCACATCAGCCAAGCAGAGAGGTAGGAATTATTGATATTATTATCCTTTAACACTGAAGACATAAATTTATTTTTCCTGTTTCTACAGTGAGTTGCTCAGTATACTTGTGTTTGATGTGAAGGAGCGAGTCTGGGCTTTAGGCTACTTTACGTCCTGTGTTAGATGCTTCAGGCATCTCTGTGGTGGAAGTCGAATGCCCTAGCTGGGTGAGCAAGGGTAACAACACATTTGTTTAAGCATAAGATGTTATCACCAGTAACTCGGGAATCCTGTCCCTTTAGTGCTGACTTCCAAAACTGAAGGATACAGCTGCATTTTCAAGTGACAAAGACGATTTAATAATCAAGTTGAGAAAGGAGAACCTGTATCTTCAATTCATTCAGGTCCCCACTGTCCTTATTACAAAATCAACCTTTAGAGACAGTATCTCGTGTGGTTAAGATGTTCCAATGTGGAGATAACTCTTTAATTGGATGTCCATCAGTCTCTACATCTTGGTGGTTGTCAGGACACCCAGGAGTAGTGTAAGCACCTGCTCTGTGACCCTGCCTCAGGCATTGCAGTATTTAAGCCACACACCAGAGACCTGGCTAGCACTAGAAAGCACAGAGATATCAGAGGGAGAGCGGGACAACAAACATCAGAAACAGCTGACTCAAGTTTTCCTACGGCCCAAGATTTGCTCTGACGAGGGTACATATGTAGTAGAAGAATCATGGCAAAAATAAGTGGATTTTAGAAATCAATTTAAAAAGTGATTAATGTGTATGCATGATACTTTTTCTGTAAAATTCATAAAAGTTCTGATATTTGCTACGTATAGTATGTTTGGTATTTTGAAGTTTGTTGGTACCTCAGGAGTGAGCTTTCCTTCATACCTTTGTTAATGACAGGTTTGCACTTTAGATTCAATTATTTCACTACAACTTATATTCATAAATTATTTGCTTAATTCTATGATCCTTCTAGCATTTTGTTAATAATAATCCTCTTATTCTGAATATTTTTTGGCAATTTGACTGACAACTCATTCTGAAGAGAGAGAAAAGTGCATTTGAGCGGTCTTATTTTGATAGAGTCCAATGTCATTCCTCAGCTATGTAACCTTTAGTAACACATTTAACCTCATTGAATCTCAGTTACTTCACTCGAATAATGGACATCTCTCTTATTGCAATAGTTTACAAAAATATGCTAATAAATATTATACTACATGCAATTTCAGATAGCACAAACTGCATTTATCTTTAATTCAGAGTTTCCTTGAAGGAAAAATTTGGATTTCAAGAATGAGTTTTAGTCTTTCATCTGAATATTTTGTTGAATTTTTAAGAAGAAATTGAAGTCTACACAGTAATTTGTTAAATAATATGACTATTTGGCCACATTTCGTACTTTACTTCACTACGTTTCCTCTCATCCTGATTTGGAAAAACATTATTATTAGCAAGTGAACATCATTTTAAAAGAAGTCTCTCCAGATGTAAGAAATGAGTTAAGATTACAAACATCCTTGTGCATGAGCATGCACATATATTAATATGGTTTGTATTTTAATTTATTGCCATATGGGTTTTGTTTTGTTTTTGTTTTTTGAGACAGGGTTTCTCTGTGTAGCTTTGGAGCCTATCCTGGCACTAGCTCTGTAGACTAGGCTGGCCTCGAACTCACAAAGATCCACCTGCCTCTGCCTCCCGAGTGCTGGGATTAAAGGCGTGCACCACCACTGCCTGTGCCATATGATAACTTTTAAAGAGTTACAGCAAGTTTAGAAATCTAATAAACAAAAAATGACAATCAGCAGCTGGATCTTAGTGATTCTAGCAAGAATAAGATACATACCGCATCTTAAAGCAGTATAAAAAATCTTAATGCTCTTTTCAGAGAAGATATATAAAGGAAAACATCTAAGTTGCTTCTAATTCCATAGTATATTTACTCATTTTAAATCTTTGGGGGAGCATTTCTTTCTTTGGGGATTAACTGAGCTCTGAAGTCTAGCAGACAGTCTCTAGACAGTCTTTCTAGAAATGATTTCCAGTTTGACTTGCCATATGCCGGGCAAAAGATGCATGGCAATGATCTTGACTAAGCTGTTTGTTTTTCTTATTAGCGTTACTTTAAAGCATCTTCTTCCTTCATTTGGCCTGATGCTTGTTTTCCTTTGATTTTTGCCGCCAGCCCAGAGAATAATCTAAAAGCTTTGCCTAACTAGTCTTCATTTGAGTGTAGTAACCACTTTTCTTCGGTAGACCCGGAATTCAGACACTTGATTTGTTTGCTTTCTTCCAGGAAGAAAACGTCAAAACTGTGCTGATGAACCCAAACATTGCATCAGTGCAGACCAACGAGGTGGGACTGAAGCAGGCAGATGCAGTCTACTTTCTCCCCATCACCCCCCAGTTCGTCACAGAAGTCATCAAAGCTGAGCGGCCTGATGGGTTAATTCTGGGCATGGGTGGCCAGACAGCTCTGAACTGCGGTGAGCTCTTTTCCATTCAGGTGTAGATTATTTTACACAGGCACCAATGTGAAACACATGTTGCTTGTAATCATCTAACAGTTGTGTTCTGTGTGCTCGCAAAGCCTTTATCCTAATGTAGAAGGGAAGGCAGCAAAGGAAAGCCTTTAATATTATGTAGTAAATAGTACTAGTTTATGCCAAAAAATAGTAGAGATGCAATGAAAGTCTTCACATTAAGGTTCTGGAGTAGCCAAATGGATTTAGTGGATTCCTTTCCATCTTAGGATATTGTTATCATTGAAACTCGGAACTATTATGAATGAAAAATGAGAGCTAACATATTCATGCTCAGGAGTCAGCGATGTGGCTTTTGCCTTTCACATGGCCGTGTAGACTCAACTTTATTGCTCTGTTATTGACTGTAGTGACACTTTGGATACAATTTAAATAGTTATTTTAATTGTTTTTAGATTATTTACTTTATGTGTGTGGGTATTTTGCCTGCATGTATATATGCCACAAATGTACCTGGTACCCTAGGAGTTCAGAAGGCAGCATCAGATACAATTGGAACTACAGTTGCTGATTGTTGCTATCTATCTTGTGGTTTCTGGGAACTGAACTCCAGTCTTTTGCAAGAAAAGCCAGTGCTCTTAACTTCTCAGCCATTTCTCTAGGCCTAGGGATTATTTTTTGTAAACAACGTTTTCAGTGTCTGTAAAGAAGACATAGATTAGAGACTATAAAAATCATGTGTTTGATTCTTCTGTAGGAGTGGAGCTATTCAAGAGGGGCGTGCTCAAGGAATATGGTGTGAAGGTTCTGGGAACATCAGTTGAGTCCATTATGGCCACAGAGGATAGACAGCTCTTCTCAGACAAACTGAATGAGATTAATGAGAAGATCGCTCCCAGTTTTGCAGTGGAATCAGTAAGAAACTGTTCTTGGGAGATGGGGGTGAATGTTACTCATCTTGGACTGCAGGGAGAATGGTTTATCACAGCTGATAATTATATCTAAAATCTTTATACTTTCAGAAATATTTTAGTATCAGACACTGTGTATTAATGGCAGCATTCAGTGCTGAATCTTTAGAAATAAATATTGTTAATTTATTCTGTGCAATGGAAAATATAAACCCAGAGGTGAATCCATTTGTTTGAGGCTGAAGCAACCATGATTTCTTGAATTGAAAATAACGACACTGACTTCTGATAGCAAACTTCTTTTTCCTATTGCCTTTTGCCTTCTCTTCTTCCTGTGATAAGTTACACATCTTGAGTGTGAATCTTAGAACCCTGAAAATTGGGTTCTTGGAATGAAATAAATATTTAGGAATAAATATATTTTGGTATAGATCTGGGTTTGCTTTTTATATATTCATTTTCCATTTTCCATTATTCCTATTTTTAGGATATTACCAATCATCAAGAAAAATTCAACTAGCTATACATATCTTTTCTCCACCTCTTTTCTCCCTGACTTTATTTTTGATTTCAGACATAAATTTTGTGAGGTGGAAGCTTTAGACACAACCTCCCCACTGTAGAAATAGGCAAAGCCTCAGGGATGAGGCAAGTAATTCTGGGACAACTAAAACTGGGTGCATCTGCCTCAGAAAAGAATGCTATCACGTATATCCCAGACTACAAACCTGTCAATCAAGGACATATCCCGGGAGCTCTCCTGAATGCTTTGGGAAGCTCCTGCTGTACAAGCATACTTTTCATTGCCAGATATAATTATGTCCTTGCTTTCCCATGATAAGAAACAGGCATATGGGAAAGGTGTAATTACATTCCCATTGGTGGTGTAATAATATTCCATGACAGAAAAATGCAGCCACCATATGTTGCGTTTGGAAGTTAAAAAAAATTTCCAAGCTGCAGAGACTGTTCTGAGAATAAATGTGAAACATGAAATATCTCCTTTTGTATAACATTCCTAATGTCATGTTGTTCTATTACCATGTTAGCTTCAGGAATAGATAAACATCATTTTTTAAATGATAGACTTTCATACTGAAGTTAAAATCATTATTCTGTATATCTTTTATTCTAAAATGATGATTATTTCTGCTTTGATCATGGTGTAGTGTTTAGAAAAAAGTTAAAGTTTACCTGATAAGGAGCTGGAAAGACAGCTCAGGGGTTAAGAGCACTGGTTGCTCTTCCAGAGACCCTGGTTCATTTCCCAGCACCCATGTGGCAGCTCACAACTGTCTATAACTCCAGTTCCAGAGGATCTGACACCCTCACACAGACATACATGCAGGCAAAACACTGGTGCTCTTAAAGATGAATAAATTATTTAAAAAATAAAAATGAAAAATAAAAAAATTACACTCGCTAGAATTTTGCACAACTTTTTTTTTCAGCAACACTAACTTTCAAAAGTATATGAGGGGATAATAGAACATGTTCCCCTCTCTGCAAATTAACTAATTAACCTGGGTTTCTGGGCTCTGATAGAGTGATTCTACATGTTACGAAAGAGAGAGAGAGAGAGAGAGAGAGAGAGAGAGAGAGAGAGAGAGAGAGAGAGAGAGAGAGAGAGAGAGAGAGAGAGAATATGAAGAGGGGAAGAGGGGGTGGCATTTTCAGCTTCAGTATCTCTGCTTTGTTCACAGATGGAGGATGCCTTGAAGGCAGCAGACACCATCGGCTACCCTGTGATGATCCGGTCTGCTTATGCACTGGGTGGGTTAGGCTCTGGCATTTGTCCCAATAAGGAGACCTTAGTGGACCTGGGCACAAAGGTAAGCATTTTTCTGAGCCGCATTCTTACCAACCAAAGAAACTGATTTGATGAGCCCATTCATTTAGAGAAAGCTGTGACCTTCCCCCATTACGGTCATCGTCAAGTATCCTCAACTGGCCCTGCTGTTGAGAGGGAAACAATCACAAACCTTTCAGTAGAACGCAGCATGACCCACGTGACTTGCGGTAAAGCAGCGGTCACTCTGCCTACCTATCCATTTTCATTACGCCACTGAATCCATTGAGGTGCATTAATCCACCTCCATCTTCCTATATTTCAGTCTTCTCTAAAACATTTGGATTGCTAACGTAGGTTTTTCTGGCTAAGAGATGAGTAGAATAAAATGCCTTTTTTTTCACACTACTTTTGAAAAAACCTGATAAGGACACATTCTCTCCCCAAAGTGCAGATGTCAAACTACAAATGGTATCGGCCTCTCCATTTAATAAATTGAGTGAATTTTGCCAACCACTACTACAAATAGAAATGCAAGTGAGAGTGGAATATCTATAGTTTGCTTTGTAGCCAAAGAACATTAATGCACGACTGAGTGCATTTTGAGAGATGTAACAAAACTATGTTGACTATGTGAACCAGAGATAAACACACAAAACCTTGCTTTAGAGATATTTGTCCATAGTCTTCTTCTAAAGGACCGTATCTGGTAACACTGGGTACTCAGTAATGCCTTTGAATCAGGAAATGCAGTTGTAGCTATGACATTTGTGCAGTGTGGGGATGAATTTGGCATAACTATTGTGCAGCTATTTGGAAGAAGGTCTTAGTCTCACACAATGTATAGTCTTTTGTTTCTTATTTTTGAACTAAAACAATGTAAGATTTTTGAGTTATTGGCATTGAAATTTAAAAGCAGATAAATACAATTAAATACACTCAATTACTTGTAGTGACAAGTAGTAGAAGCAAACAAACTTAGATATAGTTTTCTAAAGTTGCCCAAATTATACATACCAAAGGCAACCTATTTAATATGAGTGGTTCCTTTTCCCATTCTGGACTTCAGAGTTATTTATTTAAGGCAAAATATGTTTATGTAGTTATAAAAATATTTATTATAGCATGATACATGTTATGAATATTCTTTTTTTATTACTTTAATTTTAAATAGCTTGCTTCACATGTCAATCCCAGTTCCCTCTCTCTCTCCCCCTCCTCCAGCATCCCCCACCATCCCCCCAGCCTCCCACCCAACCCCCAATTCCTTCCACACAGGGGATATCCAGAGTCTGTCATTTCACTCAGGGCAGAGTTCAGGCACTCTGCTAAGAGTCCAGGCTGAGAGAACATCCCTCTTTGTGTTATGGACACACCAAGTCCGTTTGTATGCCAGGGATAAACACTGATCTACTGCCTAGGGTCCCATAGGTTGCCCAGGCCTCCTCATTGACTTTCACACTCAGGGGGTCTGAATCAGTCCCATGCTGGCCTCCCACCTATCGGTCTGAGGTCCACATTAGCAATATACTTTGTGACAGTAAACATATATTTCTCCTGTATCAAATATATTTTCTCCATAAAATGAAGCATTATCAATTTTTATATAGAACATTTACAATCTGAAGACAGTTTTGTAATGAAGTATTTTTCAATTATTTCTATTCTGCTAAAATAATCAATGGTTGTTGAATATTTCTCCTTGTAGAAGACCTTATTTCTTCCCCCTTGAGATTGACTAGTCATATCATTGCACCTTAATTTATCCTTTATTTACTTGAGGTTATAATTAGAGCCACTAGATGCTGTGCTAAGTTATTTAGGTGCTTAAGTTAACTTTGGAATAAAACTGGAGACTTGAAAAACCTTTATATCAAGTCTAGGATATTGGTTGAAATAATGCCAATTTTCCTTGTATTTAGTATCTATCATAGTTTACTAGAGTATACAATTTATTCCTTCTGTTTCAGGATTTTCTTTTTTCTTATTTGGAAACAACCCAAATGACAAATTAAATCATTACTCACTTGTTAATAGTAGCTCCAGAATGTCCCAACTGCTTTGAGAACCTCATCATGGGCAGATGTGGTGACAAAAGAGTTGCATTTTGAGTTGCATATGTTGAAGTCTATAATTACAACTGAGGCTGCAAAATACCCTGGGTTGAGACACATTATGGAAAACTTAAATTGAGCTGTCACTTCATCATACAGTCTACCAATAATTTGAAATAAAATTTTACTGACACCCAAAATCAAATATATTATGAGACAAAGGGATATTTTGGTCTTCAGTTGTCAGTCACCACATGTCTTAAGGTCAGAGATTGCCTCTTTCACATTTTGAGTTCAGCATTCTACCATACTGTGTATATGCAGTAAATATGAAATGGTAATTACACTAATTCATATCTGTCTAATCAGCCATGTATGATATACGACTCAGAGCATTTCAGCACTTAGGCAGTGATTAACCATAATAATAGCTGCATATGATTCTTCTAATTCCCAAGTTGCATATGCCATTTTGGCTAACTGTTTACAGCTGTCATCATCTCCCTTCTCTTCCTCATCAACACCAACTAACTTTTATTGTGTGTGTCACTGTACCAAGTACCCTCAGTTATTTTAGAGAAAGCTGGAGTCTTTAGACTTATTTTTCCACATTTATTTGTACTTATCACATTTTCTGGTTTCACAGAAGCCTAGCTACTGAAATAATTTCATTTCCCTCTGCCTGATTGCTCAATTATTTTCTCTTTTTCCTAAATTAGTTTGATTTAATGTCATATCAGCACTTTGAATGGCAAGCCTCAATAACCCAAATCAAGCATATTCACTGTAGGATACTATTCCTGGTCTCACTGATTTTCTGACACCCTATGTCTTCTGGAAGGTGGAGGAGGATGGAGATGGGGTTTAAGATTTTAGGGCTGACCAGGATTTGGGTCAGAACACTTTCCTTAATGTCCTTGTTTAAACCAGTGCCTTATCTGAAATTTTTGGTATCTGTATCATCAATTTCTAGGCATTTGCTATGACCAACCAGATTCTGGTGGAGAGGTCAGTGACAGGTTGGAAAGAAATAGAATATGAAGTTGTCCGAGATGCGGATGATAACTGTGTTACTGTTTGTAACATGGAAAATGTTGACGCCATGGGTGTTCACACAGGTAAGCAAAGAATCTATAAAAATTGTGCTTTTGACTCAAGACTCTGATTACCATAGCAACCTGTACAAGATACTTTGCCACTGTTAGCTGATGGACTAATGATAAAGCTTAACATTTACACACAGTGTTTTATAGCATTGAAAATAGTGTCATCTTTAGTTTGGAATTCACAGAATCCCTCTTCACTATGGTAGATATTATTATCCTGAGTTTAACTGAGGAAAGTGAGATAAGTAATGAATTTGAGTAAAAGCTGTGACAATGTTTGGAATTAAAGACAGGGCCCCAAAAGCCCTAAAACACACTGGTGTGCTAGTCACCGAATGATTGAGAAAATAGTTTCAACAGTGATGAAAACTGGCTTATATCAAGTTAAACTAATCAACTCTAGAGAACAAAGATGACTTACATTCCAGAAATTCTAAGTTGAAGATGTGGTAGGAACTTCTGAGAAGGGAGTTTGGAACCTAGAAAGGGATACTTGAGAATTACAGAAATGAAAAAGCTGACATAAAGTCACTGGAAATCATTTAGTGTAGTAGAACTTTTTAGGGATAGAAAAAGGTGAGGAGAGGGTCAAATTTTGATATTATGGAAAACAATTCAGGTTCTAGGGCAGGATAAAGAGAATTGGTGTCAAAGCAAAGGGGGCAGATAGAGATTTAGGAGGAAAAATGTGGACTAGTAGCAAGTAAGTCAATGCAAGAACATACTTTACAAATATTTTTCTTTGTGGCAGTATTAATCCCTGTGATAGGTCAAGAATGAAGATTTAATCTGGGTTTTTACAAGTTCAAGAAGAAAAATTAGATACTTCAAGCTAGTTATGGAACCCCCATGGAATGAGATTATATGATAAGGAGGGACAAGAAACTTGACAAACTTTTAAGATGCTATTTTTAGCATCTGGCATTCAAGTTATATGAAGAGAATGAAAGGTTTGTATGTCTGACAAGGTTGGGGATGGGTTTCTTGAGGAGAGGACATGTTCTTGCTGAACATGTCTGCACACAGAAGGTAGGAGAATCTGGGATTGATTATTAAAGGCCTCATGCTGGAGAAGAATGAGAATGGGAAGGGAGAGAAGAGAGGGTTGAACCAGTCTAGATAGAAGGAGAGCATAGTCTATGGAAGGAAAAACTTGAGAGACAATTTGAGATGAAGGAAGAGGAGCTGAAGGTACCGACGGAAATGCAGTAAGCTGATAACTATGCTTTACCAGTGAGATGGAGCTATGGAAGTTTCTACAAGAAATTGTCAATCATATGGGCAAAACAAGAATTATGGAGAATACCTGATGTCTCATTCTTTTAAATGTGAACATGAATTTTAAACCTTTCTTCAAATCTTCAGCCTATTCTATGCCCCATATCACTTTAGTGGGTTAAGTCACTCCAGTTGGCTGTTAAAATATGCCACCAAATAATGAGTGCTGCTTGTGTTAACAGGTGATTCAGTTGTTGTGGCCCCCGCCCAGACACTCTCCAATGCAGAGTTCCAGATGTTGAGACGCACATCAATCAATGTTGTTCGACACTTGGGCATTGTGGGTGAATGCAATATTCAGTTTGCTCTTCATCCTACTTCGATGGAATACTGCATCATTGAAGTGAATGCTAGGCTGTCCCGGAGCTCTGCCCTGGCTTCCAAGGCTACTGGGTAAGACCAGAATGATTAACCACAGGTTTATAGTTTCTTTGCAGGTAGAAATGAGAAATTGACTACTAGTGGAAGACCATTCTGTATTTGTAAATTCTACCCCTACTTTCTGTGTGTTGGCTCTAGAAAATTTAGAGAACCCTAATGGCATGGTTATCAATGAGCTTGCTGTCAGATTGAAACAAATGATATTGATAGCTGACTTTGTTTGCTGGCTAGTCATAAACCAATCAAAATCTGGGTGGTCAAATCAGGTTGTGAAAAATATGCTTCTTATTTGCACTTGGCAGATGTTTTTATTTTTTTATTTTTTTGTTTTTCGAGACAGGGTTTATCTGTATTGTTTTGGAGGCTGTCCTGGAACTCGCTTGGTAGACCAGGCTGGTCTTGAACTCACAGAGATCCGCCTGCCTCTGCCTCCCGAGTGCTGGGATTAAAGGCGTGTGCCACCAACGCCTGGCGGCAGATGTTGTTAAAAAGTAAATATTAATCTTTAATTTTAGTTTTGACTGGCTATATGAGTGGTTGATAAAATATACATTTTAACTCAAGACCGGTATAGATTACTTTGATTTTGGAAATGTACACAATAAAACATAAAATTGATACATCAGCTTATAATTAATAATTTAAAAAACTTCCACAAAAATAAACAATGTAGGATCTTACCATGGATAAATGTTATAAGCAAGTATTTAAGTTTGATGTCCATTTAACAGCTGCTGGGAAGCATAATTGGAAGTAAACAAAGCCTCTTGTTTCTATTGCTATTTTTAGCATCTGGCATTCAAGTTATATGACATTTAAATGAGGAAAACATTTGCTTCTTTAGTACTTTTATGAAGCTACACAGTGGCAAAAGGTTGAGTCAGAAGACTCGATATCTTGCTTGTTTCATCAACTGATGTGAGTTTGGGCATAGTACTTACCTCCTTCAGTTTCATTGTCTGTTCGATAGGAACTCATACTAAATAACTCTTATTGAACTCTATAGTACTATAAGTTATTTTATCAAATAAAATTATCTGAATTGACATTCGAGAGGATAGCCAAGTATCCAGAGTGTTAGCTTTTACAAGAGCCTAAAGTTCAAATATCTGGAGCTAGAACCAGGGCTGAAATTGCAAGTCTGTATTTCCTGGCCATTTATAATACATCCTAGCTCCAGCTGTCTCCTTAGATACAGGTAGGTATGTGTGTTTTCTCAGAGAATATTTTGCAGATTCTAATCTGAGCGGACATTAAACACAGGTAGTGGAGGTAAAATCTTATTTATCAAGAAACCTATCGATATTGTGTTGATGAAAGCTGGAGACTATAGCAATACAAACAGGGCTTAGAAGTGGATTCACAACTGTTGTATGCATTATCCTGCATCACATTCTGTTAGTGGGTAGTAAATACTGGGACAGAGCAGAAATCAGGTGTGCCTTATATCTTGAGGTTGACTAATGCCATAATTTTAAAGGAAGAGTTGTTCAGGTTTGGAGTTGTTTTCAGTACTTATTGCTCAAGCTAATAAAAAGAGAATGAAGGTAAAATAACTATATCTCCTGCTTTACAGCTATCCACTGGCATTCATTGCAGCAAAGATTGCCCTAGGTATCCCACTTCCAGAAATCAAGAATGTTGTATCTGGGAAGACATCAGCCTGCTTCGAACCTAGCCTGGATTACATGGTGACCAAGATTCCTCGCTGGGATCTTGACCGTTTTCATGGAACATCCAGCCGAATTGGTAGCTCAATGAAAAGTGTAGGTGAGGTGAGTCCAGAACCTAGTACTCCATTCACATTATATTTGGTTTCAATAATCTTGTCAACTCCTTCATACAATTGAAAGTCAAAAGGTTGACTGGATACTGGGTTCCTGGCTGGAGAACATGTAGGAGTTTAATTTCCTCTTTAGTGTTTTAATATTGCTCCTTTTGAAATTTAGTATGTTATTTATTACATGATATTTTTCTAAATAATAACAATTTTGAAAACAACAATCAGGTTGTTTGAAGTTTGACAGGAGTGTTGAAAATGGTTAAGACCAGAAAGACAGGACTCCAAATATACAAACATCTTTCCCTGAAACATGAGTGAAATCTACAGAGATAATTATATAATATTTTTATAGAATCAGAGTTCCATACAAATGTAAGGTATATATAGATATACAACCTCACAGGTATATATAGATAAAGCTGAGATGAAATTTGTTTTTTTTAATCAAATCTAGAAATGGAAGGGATGGGAAGATAGTGGGTAAAGTTTGTTGCACAAGCAAGAAGACCTGATTAGGGTCCTCAGCACCCATATAACGTCAGGTGTGATGATGTGTACCTGTAATCCCATTACTGAGTGAGATACGGTTGGGAAGAAGGAGGGAAAGTGGAGACAGGTAAATTGACTGTCCACTGACCAGAGGCTCCCTGACCACCCAATTTAGCTAAACGGTAAGCTCCAGGTTCAGTGAGAGATCCTGTCTCAAACATTACTAGAGAGAAGCAATTTAGGAGTCATCGGAATATCAAGCTCTAACATCCATAGCATGTAGATTAGTAATAGCACACACATACCCCTACATATTTATGCATGAATCTATCACACACATAAAAACACCACACACCAAATTGTGCAGTGTTCCAAAGCCACAATGGGTATGAAGTTAATTACTTGACTTCAGTCTATTCATGTGAACTGTGGCTTTCATTTTCTTTTCTTTTCATTTTTCTATATTTTATTTTTAAATTTAAATTTAAATTAGAAACAAGGTTGTTTCACATGCCAATTCCAGGTCCCTCTCCCTTTCCCTCCCCTCCTCCCACACCCTCCCACTAACCCCCCCAATATCCCCTCATTTCCCCAGGGAGGGTGATGCCCTCCATGGGGGTGTCCATAGTCTGTCATTTCATCCAGGGCAGGACCTAGACCCTCCCCCAAGAGTCCAGGGTGAGAGTGCATCTCTCATTGTTGGATGGGAGCCCAAAGTCCATTTGTGTACCCAGGATAAATACTGATCTACTACCCAAGGCTCAATAGATTACCTAGGCCTCCTCACTAACACCCACATTCAGGGGTTCGTGATCAGTCCCATGCTGGATTCCCAGGCATCAGTCTGGGATTCGCTAACCCTTGTCAGGTCAGCTGTTTCTGGGGGTTAAACCAGCCCAGTCTTAACTCCTTTGTTCATCAGTCCTCCCTCTCTGTCACTGTATATCTTTAGTTCAGCTCAGTGCTCAGCTGTGGGAGTCTGCCTCTGCTTCCATCAGCCACTGAATGAAGGTTCTGTTTCCCAGACTCTTTGGCCAGGGGATTGTAGGCTGGCACTCCCCAGATATAGGACTAAAATCCATATATGAGAGAGTACATGGATTTCATTTTCTTATACTTCACATTTCTCATCTGTATAGAAGACAGGCAGACTCTGTGAGCTCTCACTAGCCTTCAAGTGCAACAGTTTCAAACTGACCAAGCACAGTGGAATATTAATCTCCTTGTACTGGGCTGAAGGATCCTGATATTCTGTTTACTCCTGCCTTCAGGAATTTCCCCTTACTTCTAGCTACATTTAGGATAGTGTGAAAAGGGGTGGGAATTAGGGATTTTTGAATATGTCTCTTTCACACAGTTCTCACAATAATTTCCTAATCTGCCGTTAAAGTGAACTTAAGTCTATATGCTGAATCGTGAAGGTTTACTGAAGGCAGTATTGTTACCATTGATATTTTAAACTGGAGCCCAAAATCACAGAGCAATCTATTGTTTTGTGGAGAGACTCAAAGACAATCTTCACCCACTAAAATAACTGTGTAGGTTTCAAGGCCAGGTTGAATCCGGCTTTGAAACCTAATTGTTTCAGACTAAATTATCCCACTTGTTTTGGTTAGATCCAATTAGCTGTAAAGACTGTAAAAAGACATATAGAATTCATCATGGTGGAGTTAACCTCCACCCACATTAAAAAATATCATCTATCTGTATTATGAATTTTAGGAATCTTCCAATATTGATACTTTGCTACAGAAAAGTCAAGCTGTCATGTATCTTGACTGATACTCTTAAAATAGATTGTTTTTGTGTTAGTTTGTTTCTTTTCTCCTTATTTGCTGTGTATTCTAAAGGACACTGGCATAATGTGTGGTCTTTTAGAGGGAGGGTTCCTATGCCCTAGCCTTTTTGCTCCTCATTTTATACTATTGTGTTTCATAACAGGTATAGGAAATATCTTCCTTACTCTCAGGAAATAGAGCTACATTTGCTAGTTGCTAAAAAAAATCCTAATAAAATGTTAAAGATTAATTACACTAAAAAGCATGGAGTAAAGGAAAGAGAAGACTAGAAACGGAACCTCAAAATCTACTGATACCCTCAGAATCTTTTTACAGATGTCAAGCATTTGGAAAATATTACAGACCTAATTTTGTCAGAAACTAACAATGTGCATGCTTATTCCTTCAATGTGAGCTCTGCCGTGTGTAATTGCAGGTCATGGCCATTGGCCGCACCTTTGAGGAGAGTTTCCAGAAGGCTTTGAGGATGTGCCACCCATCTGTGGATGGGTTCACTCCCCGTCTCCCAATGAATAAGGAATGGCCAGCAAACCTGGACCTCAGGAAAGAGCTGTCTGAGCCCTCCAGCACTCGCATCTATGCCATCGCTAAGGTAATGTGGAATGGAGTGCCTGGAAGGGTCTCAAAATTTAGTTAGCTTGGCAAACAATTACAGAGTGTCGTCTGACCTCCCCATGTGTACCATCACACATCTGTGCATGTACTCTAACACACACACACATACCTCTCTTATCTTTCTCACATGTTCTCTGAATTTCATCAGACATCCTTCTAATTAAGTCATAAAATGTATTTTTTTTTAAATTTAGCTTGAAGCTTGGACCTAAGGGCACATTGCATCTTTAAAATTAACCACATAGGCAAAATGGCCCTTCCTTTTAGTATACACAGCATGAGTACTTTGAGATATTACAGTACTGTTTTGTCCTTTCTTGTAACCTTTATCAACATTCCTTGAAAATGCTTGCAACTGCATTTAGAGGGACGATGGATACACTGGTAGGTACCACATCCTACCAAATACCCTGACATAATCTATTTTGCTTTTTTCTGTGTTTAAACATCAGGCTACCTAGATTGTGATGGTAGGCTTTTCCGTGTAATTATTGTATTGCTGTTACTTTTAGAACAAAAAGCCTTGCATTTCTCATTTCCACCCCCTAGTTCCTTTTCATGCAAATGAAGTGCCATTTTAATCTCCATTCATATTTACTGTGCTTAGAGTTTTGAAGTCTCAGCTCATCAGATTTTATGAAAGGTGACTTGGGCAGCTGGAATCTGTCTGGTCAGAAATCCCTAAATGGCTTTTTGACATTTAAGGAAGCACAGACATAAATCCTCCAACAGTGTCAAACCACACTGGGTCCACAAAGCTCCCTTGGCCATTTTCTCTGTGTGTACATGTGGAATGAGTTAGTGAAAATATGAATTTTGTCTTTAAAGAAGAAATATGACTTATACAATGCTTTTGTAACAACAGAAAAATGCAGTTTATGATTTGAAATCACTGTAACTCAGGAGCATTTAGGGACAGTCCTGCAGAGAGCTGATAAAAAGCAAGGGCTATTTCTTTCATAGCATCTGATAGACGCTCTCCTCATTCTTATGGTTTCTATGTGTAAAATAGTTAAATCCTGTTGAAATTCTGGGAGAGACTATTATCTTTGATGGATACTGTCTAATCTTGAAAGTCAACTCATGTTTTCCTGGAGTGTTGGGGTGCAGCAACAAAGTGAGATTTTTCTAGAAGTTCATTTCACTGTATTTATTATTCCTCTTAGTCTTTTATTTAAAAAGCAATCCATGGTATTCATATGTGTGGATGTGGATGTGTAAATACATAGATACATATATATTTTCTCCCTGGGGAAGAGCAAGAAATGGATCTTTTCCTTGAGTCTAGCAATCATGTTTCTGCCACTTCAAGCAGATGAAAAAGGACAGCATTTCCAAGTTCCCAGCCAGGCTGTAAAACTCAGGGAAATCTCTCATTCTTTTCTAACAGACTCAAAAAGAACGGGAATGCGGGGCAAATGTGTAGAGGCTCATCCTGCCCAGAGCACGCTGTGTACAAGCAAGAAGTGCAGGCTCAGGGATATAAATTATTGTCTGCCAGAGTGCTGGGACAAGGAGCTGATTTCTGTTTGTTAGAGTCTGTCATTACTGTTCATAACCACAGCAGCCAGCAACTTGGTGATTTTGACAAAGAATGTAAGGACAGTGCAGGGCTCAAAGGGGGGAAAGAATGAAGGGCAGGCATAAATCTCCGCCTGCTTTCATGATTCTCCGAAAAGGGCAGCGTACTCGGAGGTCTGACTTTTGCAGCAGTCTTATTTCAGGATGATTGCATCATCACCTCTTCGATTTGGGGAGAATATGGGGCATTCGTTTTGATTTGGAGACCATTTGAGTGACCTCAAATGTGTCTGGGGTCATGAAACACTTCATTACAGTGGGGTAAGACGGCACAGATGCGGTGTGGAAAGATGAGGTCTGCGATGGAAGCAGGGTCCGACTGTAGGTTCTCCTTCCTTGAATGAAAGTGGGTACCAGATTCTAGGCACTTGTTCATTTAGCATCATCAGCTGTAATCTTTATTTTATCTGTAAGAAGTATGAGTGACTTGCTTTCTGTGCACCTTTTATTGTTAATGGCTAGCAACTTTTAATCTCGTAGGAAATATGAACACTGTAGGTCTTATGGCATGGCCATACTCAGCTCCATGAGTAAGCATCTTACTATTGAGAAATTGCTAAAGTGAGCTTAAGAAAATGATGGGAGGTACCAGGAGAGTAGGGTTATAATATTATTGGATCCGCCTTAATTCCAAATAGTTTAGAAAATAATAATAGATAAAGAGGAGGCGACAGGACCTGTCGAAACTGTTCTGAGCACACATTACTTTTGCTACTCAATGTACTTTCTCTGTATGCCATTTGAGGGTGCAGGTAATGGTACCCTAAGTTTTTTTCAAGGAACACCAGTGATTCAGTCTCGTTATCTCAGTTGGTAGCTTGGCCTCAGGCTCTCTAATATGGAAAGGAATGACTCTTATGTTTTCAACTAAATAAGCCATTTAGAAAATGGTTGCCCAGGAACCTGTTTGCTCTTCTTCTGGCAGGCAATGGAAAATAACATGTCCCTGGATGAAATTGTGAAGCTCACAGCCATCGACAAGTGGTTTTTGTATAAGATGCGTGACATTTTAAGCATGGACAATACACTGAAAGGGCTCAACAGGTAAGAGGATTTCTTTGAACCACTGTATGTATTTCTGGTACACTTTTTGGGTGATCTGTTCGCACAGTTAACCAAGAGTCTGCTTCAGTGAGCTAAATGGTGCCAATATTAGGGAAAGGTAGCAACGTCAACAGTCGACTGGTGGCTTCTCAGATATTATGTTTTGAAAGGCATTTATTAATATTTTGATTCATATCTACTTTTATTATTGACATCAAACATCGTGACTTTTTAAGTAAGTCTCAGAATAACTAGTGTACATTTATAAATATGTATTAATTTGTATTGTTAATCTGATATTTAACAAATGATATCAGCTTTCTGTGCATTTTATCTTCAGGTTTAAAGCCAAGTTCTTCTTTTAATATTAGCCTACAAATCACTAGGTATTGATAGAGAATTTATTCCTCTTGCACTGTGTGAATATTTTTAACAACATATAAATAAAGTTACACTCACGTGTCTGTCACTTCCTCTTCACCTCTGATTAGTTTACAACTTTTATTTCTTCGTGGCCAATTACTCACAAGTTTAATTTCATGTTGAGGGTATTTTGATCATGTTAGATATTTAACATTTATCCTTTTGTTTAATTTGAAGACTTCCGATGGATTAGATAGTTTTACACACACATCTTTAAAAAGAGGAGAATCTATCACCAAATGAAGATCTAAGGACATCTTGAGTTCCTTTCTTTAATAACACTGAAATAGACTAGTGTTAGAAAGAAATCGAATCTCCAAGTCTAGAGATATATTTAGAGAAAGAAAGATTTGCAGTGTAAGTTCTTCTCAAACAACTTGAAGAAATGTACACAATTCAATTACGTAGCTTGCTGAGGACAATGGGAGATCCAGAAAGTGGGCTGCTTATGCGTTGAGCAAAGACAACAGATAACGGGGCTATTGCATTGCCTAACTGAGGTGCTCACATAACAGTAGCCAGTAAAACACCTGAGTGAGGAATAAGATTAGCCTTTGAAAAGTCTATGTAATAATTATTCATGTTAAATTCTTGAATTTGTACACAACGATTTTGCTAAACAAAGATAAGACTGGCCACTGTTTCCTGTAGCCATCCTTTTAAGAGCTTGTGTAAAATGAACAGCAGTCAGCAAATAAGACAGAATGGAGCCTATACATTTGTCTAAGGATTTTGCTGACTTAGGGTTTCTTTTCTTGGTTTACAACGCCAACAAAACTTCCATGTTGAATTATATAGCCCGTTTCACACTGTTCGGTTTTAGGCAATGGGTTTCAAATGCCTATGCAAGCACCCCATTGAAACCACACGGGGGCGCTAGAAACTCACAGTATGCCAAACAGACCTAGCTTGGAGAATCCAGATATTGATGTGTGCCCTTGATAAATGTTCTGATATGGGGACACATTTAACGTTTTAATTGAATAGTTTTTGTTACAGTCAGAGCTCAGGTTTAGATTCCAACAAAGTATAAATAGATGTTTAGTGATAGAAAACAGGTGTTTGGAGAACAACCAACTTACTGCTGTAGGCAGCTTAGACTATCTTCTCAACTTCAGATTCCTTTGCATGTTCTTGCTGACAATTTGACACTCTTAGTTTCTATTTTCTGACATAAGCTTATTTATAATTAAGCGTTCTTTCTTTTGTTCACAATGATCTGCATAAAGCTACCATAGGGATTATAAAATAATTTTAAAGATTCTAAAACCTTGTCTATCACTGTGTAATTTGGTGCTTGTTATAGCTTGGAATTTAAAGACTTGTAGTGAGACTCAAAAAAGCAGTAAACCTAACTTTTGTGTTATCTGAGAGAGATTGTCTTCACTTTCTTTTTGAGTTCCATTGGTTTAACACATAGCAATGTGTCAGTTGTTACAAATGTTGCATAAATAAGAAGAGTGGATGGCCTCTGTGGCTAGCTCTCTCAGTCCTTCTATGGAATATGACGGTCTGAAGTCAGGGATGTCAAAATTGACCAATTCTAATATTTCAGACTCAAGTGTTCTGGCCCAGTTTTGATTCTTCTTACCACATCCTGGGCTACGAGGTCTTTGATTTCCTCAGAAGCTTTTAAATGTCCAGAAAGGTTTACTTCTCAACTTAGGCACAATTCCCCAAACAATAGAAACGCCTTTTCACCAGTTGACATCAAGGAGCAGACTTACACGTTGCCAGTTTGGATAAGGGTTGAAAAGACTGGTTCTTTTTTTTTTAATTTGCATTTGTTGGTGGTTTATTTATTTTTTTAATCTTAACTGTCCTCATGTTGGAAATCTACTTTGGATATGGGCCCAGGAGCCCAGGAGTCTATTTATTTATTTGATGTATGTTGAGAGGACTCCAAAATTTTCCTGCCTCTGCATATCTATGGTACCCATGTGCCCAAATCCTTATGCAGTTTCCAAGTAGATTTCTGGGGAAATTGACAGCAGGGATCTCTCACTTTGGAGAAGACGAGAAACAGGAATAGGGAATAAGTATGGAATACTTGACATGGGTCTTTTCACCTTGTTCTTTCCTTATGTATTGAAGATATCCAGGCTGTGGGCCCATATAGATTACCTTGCTATACTTTCTACCACCTATGGAATTGTGACATCACTACTTACTCCAGCCTCATATTCTTTCTGCTAATGTGTGCTTAATAGTTTTGATTGTGAAGCTCAAATAACAGAAGAATCAAGGCTTCCTGCCACATGTTAAGTTCCCAAGGAGGGTTTTACTTCCCCTCTGAACTAGCAACTGTAAATATCTTTAGATCTTTTAATTTAAAGGTTCATTTTTAATAGATACACTTTGAATTTGCTGATGTAGTTTACCATGTATCATTATTTAATTTTATTTATAATATATTGTCATCTATTTTAATAATAGACCTATTTTTAAGGAACCAATGTTGGCAATATAAACACAATCATCACCAAAGACGAATAGCGTTTCATTATGATGACAAACCCAATTCTTCTTTGCATTTAGTCATGCTAAATTCTAATATCCAATAAACATATTCACTAGAAGAGAAGAATATTACGCAAATGTGTTGTCAATCTGTGCCTCCTGTTTTTACTTCTAAACTGGAATTTAGAATTTTGCTTAACACTCCAATGCAATTTACTCGTGTATTTAGAGTATGTGTGAATGCCCACCAAGAGGCATGGGGGCAAAGTGATTGAAGCAAGATGTGAGTTATAGAAATAAGTAATATGAGAATTACAGCAAGGGATCTCCCTTCCATGAAGGACATGTGACATGAAATCCAAGCCTTCATCAGTGCCGTCATTTGAGGTGACACATGTTGTGATAATGGGCTCAGTGTCTTTGTCCCCCCCCCCCCCAGATCTCAATTTCATTTTTCTTCTGTCTGTCTGTCTGTCTATCATCATTTATCATATATTACATCCCAACTGCAGTTTCCCCTCCCTCCTCTCCTCCAAGCTCCCCTCCCCACATCCAGTCTTCCCTAGATCCACTCCTCCTTTCCCTTCAGAAAAAGGCAGGCCTCCCAGGTATGTCAAGCAAACATAGCCTATCAAGTTATGATAATATTAGGCAGCTCTTCTCATATTAAGGCTTGGCAAGGCAACCCAGTAGGAGGAAAGGGGTTCCCCAAAGCAGGCCAAAGAGTCAGAAACAGTTCCTGCTCTCCCTTTAGGAGTCCCACAGGAATTCCAAGTTACACAATCATAAGATACATGCAAGGACATGTATAGGGTCTGTGATGGCCGTTTCAGTCACTGTGATTCCCTATGTACCCTGTTAGTTGATTCTGTGGGCCGTGCTCTTGTGGTGTCTTGAGCCCTTACACTCAGTGTCTTATCCCTGTTTATCCTATAAGTACTCAGTTCTGATCACCTGTCAATGAGCATAGAAATGGAGACGTATATAATACTTTGAAAACAATATCTGCATTTACTAATTATTTAGGCAGCTCCAGCCAAAATTTTCCCTTTTCCACTTGTGTTCACTGACTTTAATTTTGTCTTTAATTATTCATTGCTGCTGAAGAACATGTTAGGGAAGTTGACCATCCTAAGCAGTTTGTCAAATTAATAAATGATACACTGACACATATCAAAACAATATAATACCATCAATGTGAATTATTTGTTTAGAGTTTGAGTAGCTTCTCTTTACTGAATGTGATGTGAGTCATGTCATGTAGGATGTAGGCACACACACATGCACACACACACACACACACACACAAATATGCATTGGAATTGGAATTTAGAGATCTAATACTTACCATATATACCTATTAACTGCACATCGGTAAATCATTGATAGGCTGATAGATTATTTTCAAGGACTCTGAGAAGTTAAGTCTCTTTAAATTTCTAGTGGAATTAAACATGTGCACACACACACAGACACACATATGTTTATAGGTATGAACAGCTGTGTAATAAATACCTTCAGCAAAGTTAGATTTGTCAATAGAGGCATGGTAGCTATCACCATACAGCCAGCACTATGAGAAATATCTTAATTGTATTAGCCATGATTAGAAAAACATAGGCTCAAAGATCCCATAACTAAAGAAGAAAGGGAAATATAAGATGGCTCATTTCTGAGCAGAAAATATTTTAGAACTTTATGCTCTAAGTATTTTATTTATAGTAACAAATTGGATTGAACACTTTTCATTTGAAAGGCAACCATACTATTTAAATAAGCATGTACAGGTCAGAAAAAATAATAAGCCCTTCCATATCCTCTGCCTGTTGGTCTTATGGGTTTTTAAACATTATTCTTTTAGACTCATTAGATATTTTTAATATAAGTGCTTCAGGGATGTTATTACATCTGCCGAAGTTAGAGAATTTTACATTAAAAAAACTGGCTGTAACAAAGCTACATTAAGCTTTACAGTTTTCTTCAAGTGTGTGCTTTGAAGAAGAGAAAGCTTGTCCACGTTACACCACCAGATGAGGGGTGTCCTGCCATTTACAGCAATTGCAGTTTTGCTGGAATGGCCCCTCCATTTTGCCTTCTGGCTTTGTGTCCACTAATGC